TCAGACTTGCATTGAGCCTTTTTCATCTGCAACGCAATCCCTCTTGTTTTTGACACGACTCTGCACATTTGCACAAGCTGCTAATCATATGTATGTGTGTCTGCCTGCTCGCTCGCCTGTTGGCCCTGGTGCAGCACATGGCACGTACTGTAGCTGGAACAGAAAATTCCAGTCAGATGAAGAGGGAATTCTCACCTCCTAACTGCAACCCTCGCTCAATAGAAACGTAACTGATAATGGCTGCACTTGACCAGGCCGCGTGTGAAGTAGATGATTATCTGTAAAATTACCCTGTCTGCTGATAGTGATGACTCTGTGCTTCTTGAGCTACAACAAACACGTTTCCTCTGACTTCACTGCAAAGCAATCGCAGTCTTTGCTTGTGCTACTTTTAGAACAGACGTAAGATGTTTTAAATCATGTAACTGCGAGGTGATGAAATGTAGTCGTTTATCATAAAATCTTAGTTCTCAAGCAGCTTTTGGTGACTTTTGTACAAGACTTAAACATCTATAATCACAGGGTATAATTAGTCTTCTAAAATCATTATGGTCAATATAAAAGGTGAGTGTAATCAGAAACCCTCAATCATGCGGACACTCACCTTATCCAGCAACAAGAGTTTCTCCTTGGTCTTTTTGTCCAAGATCTCCACCTCAAAGTAAACTGTCCTTTTGGGCTTTTTGGGAGGTTTCGGTTTTGGCCTTGGGGTAGATTTCTTCTCGGTTTCTGTTCCAGTCACAGTCTTTGCCTCTAAGGCGAGAACATCCATGATAATGTTTGATCCCAACCCTCAGTAGCCTGTTGAAATAATCTGTGGTGTCCTCCACTGGTGAAACACAGCAGCTCCCTGCTCTTCCCTCAACAGAACTGCCTGTCCAGCTGAAGTGTGTCTTCTTTGGTGTCTTTTGGACTCTCGGAATAGCCCTTCAGCTCCAGAGGAAGAGTGACGGAAATATGTGAGATCATAAACACTTTTTTTCCCCCCCAGATGGAGTGTATGTATGTTAGAGAGAGTGTTGGAAAGTGACAGTGAGGAGGAGCAGCAGGAGAGCTGGAACATGAAGTGAACCTGCTCCTCACCTGAATAGCAGCCTCTTCATGATCCACAACCCCCCACCCACCACCCCTTCATGCAACAAAACGCACCGAAGACGAAACTGGAGAGCCCTAAGACATAATCCATAGCGCGCCATTTGCAAGGCTAAATATAAGTCGCCTGATTTGCTCTGTAGCGGCTTGGTAACCTTGGGAAGCCACATACGGCCCTACCCAGTGTCAGATGCCAGTGTGCTCTCATTAGACCTATAAGACACATCTCTTGTCTGCTCTGCTCCTCGCTTGGTTACGCAGTGACGGGCTCCATTAAAAGCCTGATCCACGGGATGAAAGACCTCCACATGCCAACACCCCCTCCACCCCCCACCACCACCACCACCACCCTCCCTCCTGCCAGACCACCTGTGAGGCTGGTATTCTTTTCTCTTCCTGACCTCCAGAACAAAGACAAACATGTTTATTTCAGTGCCTGTGTGGTGGTTCAAGGTTTGTGCGCTGAATGAGCAACATCATTTCCAAAATACTTCAGGGAGGTTTGTGGTGGGAGGAGGAGGGTGTAGAACAGGCTGATTGGGAGAAGATCAGAGATGCCTTTCATCGCACGGGGTCAACTCAATCATTGTACACAGCCAACTGCATATCCATATTCTGTGGTCTATTTATAACCAGTAGCCCAAGCCAGCAGCAAGCAGCGGTATCACTGTTTGCATTCCAAGATCATTTTTTACTTTTGTGTTACAAAAATCCCTCTGCGAACACTAATCCTCCTCATATTGATTATCAGAGACATTAACATGAATGTGAACAAAAATCTCAAACACATGCTGAAGTTCAACTTTCAAAGGTCGTAACAGTTAGATCTGATATGAGGCTACAACATGGAGCTCAATGGGATCAGTGATCCTCAGAGTGCTGCGGTCAGAGTCCCCTTTACTCTCCAGTAGAAATGTATGTGGTGACACTTTAAAATGCCCTGTCATTCCTAATGTACTTAAAAGCTTGACATTAAAAGAAGGGTTAAATTTAGGCCAATAAAATAAATTTTGGATGGTTGTTCATAAATGTATTACTTTATATATAAACAAGTTTTAAGTATAAAAACAAATTTAAATAATTTCTAATCATTTATTGTAAAATTTCATTCATGAAACTCTGTTTTACCCTCTCTTCTATAAAAGATATCACCTATATGAGACTTTTTGTTCATTTTTTTGGTGAAACCGTGTCACAATTAATGTTGTGAACACGCTGGAGTCTGTAGTTCTGATTAAAAACACGATTACTGATGTCAACCTGCCCACCCTCCAGCACTTGTGGACCTCCTGAGTCAGGAAACAGGCTGGGTAAATCATTGCAGACAAGTCACACTCTGGATATAACTTATTTCAATTTGTCACCTCCAGTGGGCACTACAGAGCACTTTTACAACCAGTCCAACCAGTGAACAACCAGGCACAAGGAGAGTTTCTCTCCACACACCAACACACCCATGAACACTTACTTTAACCATGTGAGGCCTCAGTGCAGCCCGTCTGTAATAACAATAAATGCCTGTACATAGTAGCTGTGTGTTTATGTTTGCTCATGTTTGTTTAGCTTTGTTGTCTTGTTCTAGTCACTGTGCAAATGTATACCTTGTGTGTGTCAACAGCCTACAGTTTATTAAGTACATCAACTGAGACTAATGCAGTTTAATCCAGCAGCCATGCAATAAATCCTACCTTCATGAAGGGTATCATTTTTGGTTTTTGTTGAAGCTGTTTTTCAGCTTTGGGGTTATTTTGGAGACAGAGGTCTGTGGTGCTGTTGTGTTATACTGACAGGTGTTTCTAATATTTTGTCCAAGGTAGACTGAATGACATTAGGACCTCCATTATGGTAGATTTTATTGCAGGCTGTTGTATTGGGCTACATTAGTTTTAGCTGGTTGTACATAATAAACTTGTAACTTGGCCAATAAGTTGATGCTGATTCTGATTTTATTGATATTATCTCACAAATATACAATGCCATATAAAAATATAATAAAATATTTTATTTCATAGGTCAACTATTTCTTCATTTCTTAAGTATTTCCTGAAAAGCACAATGTGGTTTGGTATTAATTACAGGAAAAATGGAGACAAAGTTGTGAGACTGTTATTTTTGTTTGTTCATTTAGTTGTGGTGAGTCTATCATTGACCTTCAGATGGATTGCTATGCCAGAAATTGCTTGTTTAAAGCAAGAAATTGTAATTTAATAAAATCTGTTGCCAAACATAACTGACATTTCTATTCCAGCCCTATGGACACTATAAAGTAGCAAGTGCATTTTATTACTGATTTCAGCCCACAGTGTGAACTGAGCAAGTTCTGGCCGCATTGACAGTAAAAGCAGTGAAAGCTGGAAGAGCTGAAGCACTTGCGCCTGCGTACTCATATCAAAAATGAGTAGAAGGGTCAATAGTTGATGCACATTGCAGTTAATTTAATCTAGACAACCAAACTAAGGTGCTTTCATTCGGAAAAGCCTCTGTTAAGTAAATTCATTTTAAGATTTTGGTTTAAAGACAAACCTGACCACTTCTCGAGGTCTAGTGTGGCTCAAGCGAAGCCGGAAGTTGCTGGGAGTGAGTCCTCTCGGCTCGGTAGTGATGACACACATCAGCAGCACCAGCTTCTTCCAGAAGTTTCCTCGCTCGGTTTCCAGCTCGGCGGTAGCAGCTCGGACACTCCTGTACGAACACGTTGTATGTGGTTGTGTAGTTCAAGTTAAGTGACATTTTTTTCTGGGCGCGGCGCAGGGTTATAAGTTGTCTGCTGTGACTGTGACAAGTGAGGAAAGCTAACCGTGACCGCTAGCTAGCCACAAGCCGCAGCAGTGACAGCTGTGGAGCCTGTGTTTAACCTGTCCCGCACACACAGGACACGCTGGTTGTGTCGCTGGAACTGAGCAGAAATTGAAGCAACTGCGTTGATAATGTTTTTATGACGTGGAAGAAGAAGTGACTGGTCATTGTAATGGGTAAAGATTACTACAAAGTGCTAGGAATAGCCAAAGGTGCGTCCGAAGATGAGATAAAAAAGGCGTACAGAAAACAGGCCCTGCGCTACCATCCTGACAAGAACAAGTCTCCCGGAGCAGAAGATAAATTCAAGGAGATTGCTGAAGCCTATGATGTCCTCAGTGATGCCAAGAAGAAGGACATTTATGATCGCTTTGGAGAAGAAGGTAACTGAACTCCTCTCCTCACAACTTGCACATTGTTTAGTAGTTTGTGCCATTACTTTTCACACAACTCCTAGTGTTTAGTGTAATTTTCAACAAACCTCTATTGGCACTTTAACTTTCTGAATGTGTTGCATCTAGCTGATAAACTGATGCATCCTCCCAATCGGTCATTGCTGTGTCTGGTATCTTTCTGCACCAGCAGCCAGACAATGCAAAGGGGCGTGTGTGTACAATAGGAGTAGCTGGAGAATTTACTGGAAACAACGAGTTCTTGCCTGACGTTTCAGTCTGTCACTGGACTGATGATTCCGTTTTAACCCGTTCAAAAGTGCACAGATTTGTGACCTCAGGCTGTGGCAGAGACACAGACAGATTTGACGACTTTTGGGCGTTTAAAAGCAAGAAAAGGCCAAATACAAAACCGAAACTAAATTCTTTTTGAACTTCTATTCCTTGCAGGATGGTCATTTCTAGTCTTTGAACCAATTAATATTTTCATTATCAGTTTATACTTTTAAATTCTGTAGGGGTTAATAATTTGCTGGTAAAAGTAAATATAGGTAAGCATGTTAATATTAGCATTTGTTAAGTTCTAACTTGAAAACAGTAATATTTTCGCTATCATTACTTGATTAATGATAAAAACTGATGTAATTAAAGTAAGTAAAGTAGTTAATTGAATTGCTGTTAACTGAATACCTGATCAACAAATGATGATTGTTGGAGCACTATTCACCCCTAAGTGCCCACCCATTATTTCAATACTATGCCATGATCGAGCCAAGTATGACTGGTTTATTTGTAAAAGCTTTTGGTAATTACACAGAGGACTTTATTTATTTACAACTTGAGCTCAACTAATAATGGATTTTTTTAAACTGGTGTCTGTATTGATATTCAAAAGTCTAAAGAATCAGAAAACCATTTGTTGGCTGATACAAGTTTTTTTTTATCTCAAGGATATGAAATAAAGAAACATGTTGATAAGCATTCCTTTAGAGCTGAAACAATTAGTCTATTAATCATGTGAGGATCAGCTGTTTTTGAAATCTTTGGTCTCAATGGTCACAACCGTTTTTTTCTTCAGAATTTTTTTTGTTTTTTGACCTCATATAGACTAAATGATTAATCACTTTATCAAGAAAATAATCTGCCGATATATCAATAATGTAAATAATAATTAATTGCAGCCCTACATCCCTTCAATTTGGTTATTAAACAATTTTCACACAGATATTAGTGTGTGTTCTAAATTGCATTTTTTTAACTTATTGGGCAACAAATAATCACTCTAGTTATTGTCAAGTTAAAGCGTGCAGTCCCAGATCTTCGATGTTTCTCCTTGTCTTTTCCTCCTCAGGATTAAAGGGTTCGGCTGGTGGTGGAGGTGGAGGACACAGTGGTCAAAGCTACAACTACACCTTCCATGGAGACCCACACGCGATCTTTGCTGAGTTCTTCGGAGGCCGGAGCCCGTTCGATCATTTCTTCTCACAGAATGGGGATGATGACATGGACATCCAGGACCCCTTCTCAGCATTTGGCATGGGAGGAATGGGTGGCATGGGTGGCATGGGTGGCATGGGTGGCATGGGTGGGTTCCACAGGTCGTTCAAATCCCACCCAGGAGGCCCTCACAGAGCACACGAGAAGAAGAAGGACCCGCCCGTGGTGCATGAGCTGAAGGTGAGCCTCGAAGAGGTTTTCTCAGGCTGCACCAAAAAGATGAAGATTTCTCGCAAGAGACTCAACCCGGACGGCTGCACCATACGTAATGAGGACAAGATTTTAACAGTCGACATCAAACGTGGCTGGAAGGAGGGTACAAAAATCACCTTTCCTAGGGAGGGAGATGAAACTCCCACCAACATTCCTGCAGATGTTGTGTTTGTGGTCAAAGATAAACCCCACCCGGTGTTCAGAAGAGAAGGCTCAGATATAATTTACCCTGCAAAAATATCACTCAGAGAAGTAAGTAAATGAGGATATCAGAACAGACATACATTTTTCCTTTTCATGCACAGGGAAAAAGATAAAAAATATTACCTGTTCCAGTAGCATTTTGACTAAAGATACTTAAAATTTAAACAAACATTGGAGGTTTTATCTCTTTGTGTAATTACCTCGTTTCCCATTCTCTCTCTATCTCCAGGCGTTGTGTGGATGCACCGTCAACGCCCCGACACTGGACGGCCGGACCATCACTGTGACTTCCAGAGACGTTGTCAAACCTGGAATGAAAAAGCGCATTGTTGGAGAGGGGCTGCCGCTTTCCAAGTGCCCTGAGAAGAGGGGTGACATGATCTTAGACTTCACCGTTAAATTCCCTGACAAACTAGGCCAAAGCACACGTGATGCACTTAAGCAGATACTTCCACCATGACTTGAAACAATGACAAAAATATAACAAAAATATAGCAAGTTAACATTTCCAGTGACACTCTCCAGTGTATCATCACATTTCGGCCTGGACAATTGATGCAGAGGGCAGATTTGGTTGTGTCTCTTCTTAACCCAGTATCCAGTCAGTTTAATGAGTGTCTTAAGGCCTGGAAACTGACAGGACAGCTGACTTTTCGCTTTGTGTGTGTGCATTCAGCTGAGGTTGAGTAACAGTGTTAAGTAACAGCCTGCCACAATGTCAGATTGAAGTCATTAAGTAAACAGTAGGAGGTATATGGTGTGTATATAGGTATTCATGCAATGTGTCAAGTGATAGGTTATGGTTTGGCTGCAAAAAGGAGAAACAAAGATGGTTTTTTAAGACTTAACTGAATTGTACCACTTGAAAATTTAGTTCAGTAACTGAGGATTTGGTTTCACTGCAGCGGTTTTTGGGAGTGCTTTGACAGAGCACAGAGCCAGCTAATTTACTATACCTCAGGTGCACTCACGCATGCTTGAATGTAGCGATAACTACATTAATCAACAGGATATGATTTTGGTTGCTGTTAGATAAAACTGACACTTAAATACTGTGTGGATCCTGAGAAGTGAAAACATTAGTATTTTACATAAGGATGCACTGATTCGATCAGTAGCATCAGCACTAATACTAAATAAATATATTAAGTGGATCAGCATTAGCCAGATGTGACAGTTACAGTTTCTTTGTCGGCGTCATAATAAAATTCAGTCTTTGGTTACACTATTTGTAGGGCTACACTTAACTGTGGAAATCTTCATCTCCACTGAGTTCCACGCAGTGATATAGCATTATAGAGATTTTAAATTTAGAAAACAGGGAGCACTTATATCAGATCGGTACTCTGTCAGCAGATATCTGAGTTAATGGATCAAAAAGGAGAGAAAAATCAGATTGGTGCATCCCTGGTGTTTAAGATGGCACATCTTGCAAAATGTTTACTTTTACTATCTCTTGTAGTACATCACTTTATTATGTAAAATATTTGACTTTTGTGCCAAATAATAGTCCCCTATGTAATTATAATATATGTATGTGTGTCTAAAAGTCTATCGAGAGCATGTGTGTGTCCTGTCATGTGCGACCAACAAATTACCAAAATCTTATCCTTTGAATCGTACCCCCTGAAGATGCACAGCGTATATGATATTTCAGTTCCTCGTCATATGTTATTACTTTGTCAGTGAGGTTTGTTTTTTTTGTTTGTTTTTTCTTTCACACATAACAGGGTATAACCCTGGTGCATTAATATGGTACCAGGATCACTCTTTCATAGATTGAGATGTGAAAATAAGTTTAAGCCCCTGATTTAAAGGCCTGAATATATTTTTGTTTGATTATTCTGTCTTATATCATAACTTCTCTTATAGCTCATACCTGACAGCATTTGCTCCAAGATGTACAGTGTCTGGAAATATTTAGTTTCACAGTTCAGTATTGAACTCTGTGTCTCTTTCAGCCCTGTGTAGCTTTGACTGTCGTGACGATGGAAGTTAGTAAACCAGTTGGTTCATTTGCACATTTTAAGTATTTTTAGTGTTGATGTGATTGTCAGAAGAGACGAAACAAACTTCATGACGGTCATTACTTGCCTCATCGTGCTCCTGCTGGAGTTTTAAGTTTCTAACACAAACATGTGGTTTAACATGAATGTAGAGATGTGTAATCTCTGTAATGTTTAACTTTTTTGTTTTAAAAAAGGATAATTGTTTTTTTTCTTAAAATGTTTTCCTTTTTAAGGGAAAAAGGTGTAAGCATTATTTTTGTTTTACTTCTTGTTTATGTAGTTTTGAAATTCTTCAGGGTGTGATTCAGGATGTTATGATTTTTCACAACAAAGCTTTTATGAATTGATAATGGGATGAAAACTTTTAATAGATCTTTCCTATGCTGTGATGATTTGCATTTCCACATTAAAGAAACTGGCAAACCAAACCGGCAAATATCTCATTGATTATATCCTGTATGTTTTAATTATTAAAGACATTTTAACAATTAAAGTATTCCTCCCAAAACCCTTCTGTCAAATCTCACTGTATTTATGCTCTCCACTATAGATAGTTACCATCAGATATTTTTGTCTATATTGATGTACTAATCTATTATTTATTTTTATTCAATATAATTAATAAAAATAGCATTTTCTCTGCCATCGCCAAATATCTCTCAAAAAATATATAAATGTAAGATTCACCTCTTGTACACAAACAGGCTGCATTAGTTGTGTTTAAAACAAGCAAGGTCAAGGTTTTATTTTGAAGGTTTTAACCGGAAGTGTGACTATGGCTATGTGTCTGCCGTGATATAAATGACATTGCAATTAAGGCAGGATAATTCTAGATTATATCTTTGTCATAACTACACATGCGCCTGACTAAATCAAATAGTAAGTAAAAGAGAAATACAGTATCAGACATTGCATCTTTTTTCTCTTTGATGAACAAAGTAGCTTTTAAAGACTGTTTGTAGTGCACATAATCACAGTACGAGTCTTGCACTGCAAGTACACCGTCTACAGACTATCAAAATGAATTTATAATCATGGGTTTCCCTGCAGCATACACTTCTGGCTACAACCTTCAAAATAAAACTTTAACAATAGTCAGGAGTAGTTACACCCCGTGACCGCCAGAGGACAGTGTATACTCACGTCTATCAACTCTCTCAACCGAGAAGCTATACTCTCGGTTTCAGAAGTGGAATGTAACTATGTACTACTGTACAAAATAAAGTGCAAACATGGTATTAAAATAAAAATGTTGGTATGAAAGTACAAATTTCATGTACATGTACTTTAGTCTACCCCGATTGTGTTTTATAGGGAAACATTTTACTTTTTTAATCCAATATATTTATCTGACACATTTAGTTACTAGTTACTTTAAGAATTAGGATTTTAAGATATGATGCTTTGTCCATTAAACTACCCAACAGTTTAAAGTAAAACTGAAACCATTTGTTGATCAATCAAAATTAATTGGCAGCTATTTTGATAATAATTTAAGTCATCCTCATGCAAAAAGTACTAAACATTTAATAGGCCCAGCTTCTCAGATGTGGGAATTTTCTTCTTTTTCTTTTAATTATTAAAAAATGTATTTCAAGTAAAAGTAAGTAAGTAAAAGTAAGTAAAAATGACAAAACAATAACATACAATTTTTCTAGCTAAAATAACAGCAGACAAACTAATCCCGCATAAACTGCACAGCAGCTGTCCAAAGAGTCAAATGAATGACAGCTTGTGATTTGTTGACACCTTGGAACATTTGAATTTGAGAGCTTGACTGTATTATATTGTATTATATTTTGAATAGTCACCTGGTGCTGAATTTTGTGTATTCCTTTACATGAATGACAATTCCACCCTAAATGGATGCAGTAATCGCACAAAATGGTGCATGAAAATGTACCTGATTGTATTCAAATTGACTTTTTGATTTTCAAAATTTATAAAAGGAGAAACCCCAGAGCCCTCAGCTCAATGTGTCCCCCAATGTTCAAACGGAACTTACGCCCATGGTTTTTATACTGTGGTATTAGTACTTTTACTTAAGCAACAATACCACTGCAGGGCCTTTTCTTGTAATTGAGTATTTTTACAATGTGGTGTTAGTACTTCTACTTAGGTAAAGGATCTGAATACTTCTCCCAACACTGTTACGACTTCAGAACAATCGTTCCACTGAGAAGTGCGGTTTACGAGGAACCCTGAAGGCGTCCTTGTTCCACCCCTGCTGGGCAGGCAGAAAGATATATCTACCCCTGCATACCGATACAGACATACTTAATTTACCCTACAATCTGCCCCTGGATGAGCCCACCTGTCTGGAGGGGAGCAACAAAACATACTGGACTTTCTCTGCCAACGTAACGTTATTTTTAACAACTCACAGCAGCACCGTTAGCTGGCTAAGCTAGCAGGAAGAGGTAGCTAACGACAGTTGGCTAAAACTCCTGCTCCGGTAAGAACGACCGGCCTGCCGTGTTTACTCCCTCATGTCCACATCCATTGATCACAGTTAATCTAGCTAACTAACCTCCATACGTCAGAAATTGTAAAGCTATAACTTACTAGCGGGATCAACAGACAGTGATTTAGCTTCCGTTTTAGTAGCTAAATGCTAAGTTGCTGGCTACATGAGAGTTGTCTGTTTGTGTTGCTAGAAGTGAAAGATAAGTGTGTCAGCGCTACCAGCTAACATTAGCAAGGTATAATCTTAAGGAAGAGCTATGCTAATTATAATATTTCTTAATGTTCACAGCATTACATACTACTTTGAGTTAAATTGCTTGTATAATCGATATGTCATTGCATTGGTAAATGTATGAATATTGAACAGTGTCTGTTTCTGTGTTACAGCTGAAGACCTCCCACTGCAAGGTGCTGGACCTTACAGACTCAGTTATGTGAACTGCTCTGATGTGTAGATGTGTAAACCCTGACAGTGCCTGGCTAAGACAGCTCTTTAGCTGGTCTAGAGGACCATACTATAGCTGTGACATAAACCTCCAACAGACCTGCCACTGATTTGGCTGAACAGGTGTATGTTGGCGTGGATTGTAGCATAAGTCCCCAGAGCAGCCTCTTCCCCTCCACTCCCTCTGCTCTCCCTGTAGGACTATGCCTCTGGGTTTGGGAAGAAGGAAGAAGGCGTCCCCGTTAGTGGAGAACGAGGAAGCAGAGCCCATCCGCGCAGGTCTCAATGTGCCGGGTATGGATGGCCTAGATGGGGGTGTTGTTGGGCTGGGAGAAGGTGCCACCTCTGAAGGTCTGCCTCCCCCACCCAGCAGCATGAGACCTCGCCTCATCTTCCACACCCAGCTCGCTCACGGCAGCCCTACCGGCCGTATTGAGGGTTTCAGCAATGTCCGGGAACTCTATGCCAAGATTGGTGAGGCCTTTGGGATACCACCATCTGAGGTGAGTGAGTCTGTTGACTAGGTCTAAAACAATTTTGTTGATCGACAGATAAATTATTTTACTATTTGATTGAAAATGTTCGGAAAAATGCTAAAGATTCCCTTCGGGCAGCTCCTTCAGCTTCAAATGACTGTTTTCTGTTTCTCTCTGTCATACAGTATATCATAGTAAAGTGTATATCTTTGTGTTTTGGACGTTCGGTCAGACAAAACAATACATTTTAAGATGTCAGCTTTGTTTGTTGTGTCCCTCCTCAGGTTATGTTTTGCACACTGAACACTCATAAGGTGGACATGGACAAACTGTTGGGAGGTCAGATTGGACTGGAGGACTTTATTTTTGCCCACATTAAAGGCCAAAAGAAGGAAATAGACGTGTTCAAAGGGGAGGATGCACTAGGGTTGACGATCACTGATAATGGAGCTGGCTATGCTTTCATCAAGGTGAGGAACATTGAACTGTCCTAGGAAATTGTTTTGAGTGTCCACAGGGAGAGACATGACCCTGGACTAAACATAGACATAAAAGCTGCACATAGGATGAGAATAAATTACATGTATTAAGGAAAATACAACAAGATGTGTAGTGTGTTGGTTTGTTAATTTGATATTTGCTGTTTTCAGAGAATCCGTGAGGGGAGCGTCATCCACCAGATTCAGGTTATTAACGTGGGCGATATGATCGAGTCTATCAACGGCCATCGCCTGATAGGCTGCCGACACTATGAGGTGGCCAAAATGCTGAAGGAGCTGCCCAAAGGGAAGGAGTTCACCATCAAGCTGGTGGAGCCTCTCAAGGCCTTTGGTAAATGTGGGAGGAGGAAACATTAAGTCATCTGAGAGACGAGTTTAATTGTGACATACTGTATGTAAGACAGTGTTGTGGTGTGGCAGCACAACATGCTTCTCATTCTTAAGTCAGAGCCTCATCTGCACTACCTGAAACAATCACAATGCACTCTGAGTTACTGGAGCAGTCTCATACTCCACCAATAGCAAGTGATAATGTCGTACTTGTGGCTATGAATGCTGCACTCAAGTTTAAATTTTATAGCGTTTAATTCGACATACTAAATGTTTTTTAAACTTTATTTTCAGTCATCATAGTAGTTTAGTATATATAGTTTATAGTATTCTAAAATCTTACCACATAAAATCAATAGACAGAAGCCTAACTTATTGAAATAAGTGCCTTTGCTGCTCATAGTAAACATGAAATGAAATATTAATCCATTTTCTTCAGTTAAAATATGCATCAGCCTGAAAAGGATCATACTAAAAAATGGATGAAATGGAGTTTATCTAAAGAGTAGGTGATAGTGTTACAGGGCATGATGTTCAGCACTGTCACAGCTTGACAATGAAGAAGGAAGCCATTTTTTTTAGGACTGTCCAAAGTGCTGATGGGATGTTTAATTGCTTTGTGTAGATATGATCAGCCAGCGGTCTGGAGGGTCCAGGTCGGCATCAGGGGTTCAGCTGGGGACTGGCAGAGGAACCCTCCGGCTGCGATCTAAAGGTCCTGCTACTGTGGAAGAACTGGTGAGTGTGCTTACAGCACCTGTTGACTAATAACAGGTTTTTGTGCTGTTTAAAAAATGTTTATAATTTGTTGTATCGCCTGAGTTTGTGTGTTGTGTTTTTTTTTCCCTCCAGCCTTCTGCGTTTGAGGAAAAGGCCATTGAGAAGGTGGACGACCTGCTTGAGAGCTACATGGGCATCAGAGACAGCGAGCTTGGTAAGTGTGTCTTTGCGTGTGTGTTTTGGCTCTAATGGTGTCATAATTGATAAATGTTTTTTGCGGTCCATCTGGATGGACGAACAACCCAAACCCCGGTACAAGAAGCATTATGTTCTCTGGTTGTCCACCCATCTGTCCCATTCTCATGAATGCAATATCTCAGGAACGCCTGGAGGATATTTCTTCTTCTACAAATTTGGCACAGATGTCTGATTACAGTTTGGTGGTCAAAGGTGAAAGCCACTGTGACCTCAAAATATGAATCAGCTTTTAATTGGCTCTTAAGAGGCCAGTCCACAGAACACTGGGGCCACAATTTTATAACATTTGCAGCCTGCAGAGCTGCTAGTTCATTGACCACAGAGCAAAACACGATTTTAGTTCTGCAGTTTGAAAGAGAAAGCCATTTTATCATTATCACCTTGAAAGACAAATTAACATAAAAGGGATAAAAGAACAAAAAAAGAACAACAGCCGTGGCCTGAGGCATTGGCACTGAGGCACTGTGACCTCACAAAACACAGTTTTGTCCATAACTCAAGAATTCGTATGCTAATTGTGGTGAAATACACTTAAAACCTTTCATTAAATTCATTCCAAGTCTCCACTACATATATTATATGAGCCTGGACAGACATGGATGCAAACTGCAACTTAACTGCTTAGCAGAGGCATAAAACTGCAAGACAGTAATTCTAGTGTGTTCACTAAATGTTCTCTGACCTCTCTCTCTCTCTCTCTCTTAGCGGCTACCATGGTGGAGCTGGGAAAGGACAAAAAGAACCCTGATGAGTTTGCCGAGGCTTTAGATGAAACCCTGGGAGATTTCGCCTTCCCTGATGAATTTGTTTTCGACGTCTGGGGTGCCATCGGTGATGCTAAGGTTGGGCGGGTGTAACCACAGAAACCAATGGAGCAGAACAACTTCTGTGTGTGTGACGCCTACAACATTAAGCACTACTAGGAAACACAACACTACCGTCATGAGTTTGTTTTTATTCCAGTGTATACTCCTACTATTTTTAATTTAGAGTGTACCCTTTTGGGAGACTCTGCCTAGACAAAGAGGATAATACCAGTTAATGGGAGAGGAAGGTGTCTGTGATGACTTCCCAAGTGCTTTTATTTGTCTTCCGGCTTTATCCAGAAACTACAAGCACGCTGATGAGCATTCCCTTTGACCGCATCACATGAACCTGCATGTCATTGTTGTAGTTGCTGGCAGTGGAACAAGAACAGCACAAGTCTCTAATATGGGAGAAATGAAAGACAACGGCTAACACAAAGTAGATATTTGATACTTAGCAAAAAAAAATGTGATTTTTTTCTTTTTTTTTTTCCACATTGCACTGTTGCACTGCGCTGTAAACCAACAATAGACGTGAACAGAGATTGCACTGTACCTCACCTGGTGAGCGGCACAGTTATTGCACAGTACAAGGCATCGGCCTCCCTGAAACACAGTACAGTGTCATCCTGAAACACTCGATGTTACTGTTACGGATCGGTTTTACAAGCATGTGCTGTTATATTTTTATCTTCATCATGAATTCTGCTGGTTTTCTGTTCTTTTGTTTGTTTGTTTTTTGTTGTTTTTTTATGGTAAAAGAAAACAATATGGTTGCAGAAAGGTCGTAGTAAACTGTAGCTTCTGACTTAAAGATCAGTGGTGTTTGCCCACTGACACACTCCATGCTGTAATGAAGTCAGCTGTGCAGACAGCAGCACATTCCTTACTTTCATACATTTGACAGTGTTAAAAGAGAATCAGTGTTAATTGACCTTTTTACTGAAGGTCAATATGTGGGAATGAGAAGCAGATTGGTTTCCAGGTTTGTGGATTGTGTGGATTTTTTTTATAGTTAGTGTTTTTATATAAAGTGATGTGATGTCTATTTTAAAACAAGGTGTGTGATGAAGAATTTGATCGTGTTGGAACTACTTAATGGTTTTGAAGCATTACAGAGAGCAGTATTAATGAAAAGAGAGAGGCATGAGATGGAGTAGTTGTGTAAGGAAAAAAAAAAAGAAAAAGGATTTGTTAAGAACAAAATGCCTTTATTTTTTTCTCATTTCATGCATTTTATACATTTTGTTAGAAGTATGGATTCTGGTGCATGATGGTGCTGAAAAATGAAGTATACTGTCACTGGAGCAGAATGATACCAAACTACTTCCATCATGTGTCCAGCAGTGACTTCAGAGGAAAAACAGGCAGTGTCGCACCCACTACTCAGCGTAGGTAAACACATGTCTTAAAAAAAAATCCTTTGGTGTTAACCTTTACAGTATATCCAAATGTATGAAGCTATTTTGTAGTTTTGTTTCATTCTTTACAGTTAATGAATATCTAAATGGGGTTATGTAATGAAACTGATGCTAGAACACTGTAACACTGAGAAGAAGACATTATTTTGATGGCTTTGTATTACACTGTTGTCATTGTCCAATTATAATGCAATAATAACATCAACATGGCAGTTTTCTTTCTGTTTGGTCTTTGCTACACACACACACACACACACACACACACACACACACACACACACACACAGACAGTGTTTGAAACTGGGAGTTAAGTTTGCTGCTGTTAAGAATAAGGAGAGAGAATGCTGTGATCTGCTGGATTGTTTTGCAATATTATCCCTGTGTGTGTGTGTGTGTGTGTGTTTGCGTGTGTGTTTGCGTGTGTGTGTGTGTCTTCCCCCTCCTGTGTCCTCCTGAAATATGTATGACATTTAACTAGACAGCAAAATCACTGTGAGTGTCAGCAGGCCATCACAGGTAATGTAATAAGATCTACCCTAGTAGACTTGATAGTGCTGGTTAAGCTCAGCGGGGTCATTTGCAGGCCTCACATGTAAATCAAGGAAGGTGGTAAAGTGAAGAGATCTGTCCCAGTTCAACACAAAATAGTTTTTGTAGTATTTTTAGATTATAAATGTGCAACAGCAGAGTTTTATGCAGCTGTTTTGAATTCTGTAAAATCACCAGTGCCCTACTATACCCAGCTTCTACCTCCTGCATCTGCTCTTCTTGTCACTCAAAAATAGACTAGAAACTGCCAGAGCACTTCCGCAGCACACTTTCTTCTGTGAAGAAGAAAAACATCCCTCTTGACTCAGCTGGAGTCCTGCTTCACAGAGCCCTGGTGTGGCTTGCAGATAAGGGTTGATGACATGTCCTGTATTTACTACAAGGGAAGTAAACCAGTTCTTCAAGTCCCAGCTGATCTATAACCCTGGTTGCTCATAAACTGTCTTCAGATTACTCTGTGGACTACAGTCAGAGAGGAGTACTTCTCCTTCCTAACAGAGTGCTCTTTCAGGAACAGAACAACCACAGCTTTAAAAGCAGTCTCCCGCCAACAGGAACCTGCCATGGCGTTGCGCCCTCGAGCTTCCTCTCAACCTGGGAAACTTTCTTTCCTCCAGAGTCCCAAGGTAGCTTTAGCCCTTCGGCCACGGGCTGTTTCCTCGCGCTCAGGCTCCATGCTGGAAGAGGAACTGTCCTGTCCTGTTTGCTGTGAGATCTTCAAGGAACCTGTGGTGCTCAAGTGCAGCCACAGCTTCTGCCGGGCCTGCCTGCAGCAGTTCTGGAACAAGAAGAAAGCCAGACGCGAGTGTCCCGTCTGCAGGAGGAAATGCTCCCTGACAGAGCCCACAGTCAGCCTGGCCCTGAAGAACGTGGCCGACACCTTCCTGAGGGAGCAGGAGCGCAAGACGTCCCCAGCTGGGACGGTGGCCGGGTGGACAGGGGAGGAAGCAGGGATGGTGGAGGCGAAGTGCACCACACACGGGGAGGTTCTCAAACTCTTCTGTCTAGATGACTTTGAGGTCTTGTGCTGTGTGTGTCACACCTCCAAGAAGCACCAGGGACACAGAGTGTGTCCCTTAGAAGAGGGAGCGCAGGACCTCAAGGTAATCTGCTATTGTCTGTCTGCAGTCCCTCAGGGTTTTAAAAAGACTACCTGCTTACAGTTATTAATTGAGATGCACTGAGGGATTTAACCATTATAATCCACTTTTTAAAATTTCACATCACTGCTCTGAAACTCAGAAAAGTGGTTATACTTGACATCCCTTCTTAGTAGCTGTGCAAAGTCAGGAACATCAGAAACACTTCCCATTTCAGGCTCAGTGTCATCAAGATGATGTTAGGATCATTTTCAGCTGCCAGTTTCTAGGATGAACATTCTGTGACATTTTGACACGTTCTCTGCCCTCACCCCTCAGGCAGAGCTGAAGAAAGAGCTGATTCCTCTGAAGAAGAACCTGCGTCACCTGTATGAGGCCAAGCAGGAGTGTGATGACACAACTGTCCACATCAAGGTATCAATAAACACAAAGATCCATGAAACACTAGAGGATCTGCATGATCACTGAAGTTGAGCCGCCCACTGTTAGTGTATAAACATGTCAGCCAAGGTGTTATAAAAGCCGCATAGTTTCCCTTTAGGGTGCCTTTAAGGTCACAGTTTGGGTGGAGATGTTTTTTTTTTTGTTTTTTTTTTTTTGAAGCTACAGGATTTTTGATTTAGTGTTTGGTACAAGAATGAACTGAGTCCAAGAGATATATCATAGTGATGCTTTCAGAGATAAATAATGGAACCCACAGAATCCTAAAAGGGTTGTATTAGGGATATATGATATTATGATTATTTTCTTCTCATTGTATGGACAGGGAATACGTTTAATCAAGATTTCAAGACATAATCTAAAAATAAATCCAAGTAATCCAAAAGTAATGACCTTATTGCTCTTATTTTGACAATCCCAAAGGAGATGTAGATAAACAGAAGCCGACACAGACAAGGCTTTTTTTTACATTCAGTGTATTTTCCTGTTGACCCACGTCTGCTAGAACCAGACTCAGGCCACAGAGAAGGAGATCAAGGAGGAGTTTGAGCAGCTCCGTGAGTTTCTGCAGAGGGAGGAGGCGGCCCGACTGGCCTCTCTGCAGCAGGAGGACGAGGAGAAGAGGGAGCTGGTGAAGAAGAAGTCCGACAGCATCACCAGAGACATCCTCACCTTCTCTCACGCCGTCATTGCCATTGAGAACGAGATCGCGTCCAGTGATGCTCTCTTCCTTCAGGTGAGAGGATTCGAAATGTTTTCCTCTCTCTGAATTCGTCTGACCTTGCAGCGGTTGTAAAACTATCTCTTTTGATTTCAGAATTATGCTAATACGAAGAAAAGGTAAGAAACGTTTAATCTTCTGCAGTATCTACTTTATTGTAGATTGAGCTTTCTAGTTATACTCCTGCATGGCATTCTCTTCTCAGGGCACAGATCCCACAGAAGGATCCAGAAAAAGTGTCAGGTGCTCTTATGAATGTGGCCAAATACGTCAGTTCCCTCAAGTACCACGTGTGGGAGAAGATGGTGGAGCTGGTTCAGTACAGTAAGCACTCAACAGGCTGTGTGTGTGTGAAATCTGATATCGTTGCTTTTGATTGTGGAGCCCTTTTTAGAGATGTGCCTTGAATTTTGAGAGGAAATCATCCGCTTTCCTTCATCTGTTTTTTTCTCTTTTCCTTTTAGCACCCATCACCCTGGACCCCAACACTGCCTACTCTTGGTTGTCTCTCTCCTCAGACCTGACCAGCGTGGCCAACAGCGGATCCCTGAAGCAGCTCCCGGACAATCCTGAACGTTTTGGCCACTTTGTGTTTGTGCTGGGCTCAGAGGGCTTCACCTCGGGCCGCCACGCCTGGGAAGTGGAGGTTGGCGACAAGGTGGACTGGATGCTCGGGGTGGTCAAGAAGTCCATCGATAGGAAAGGCCGCATTTCAGGCTGTCCCGAGGGCGGCTTTTGGATGATCTCGCACTACGAGGGCGAGTACTCGGCCATGACGAGGCCCAGCACCCCGCTTCACCCGGAGGGGGAGCTGACCCGTGTCCGGGTGCAGCTGGACTACGACTCCGGAGAGGTGATCTTCTCCAACCCGGTCAGCATGATGCCCATCTACACCTTCAACGACTTCTTCACTGAGAAGATGTACCCCTTCTTCTGCCCCGGAGCCAACATCAATGGGAATAACCCCAAACCCCTCAAGATCTGCCCCGTCAAAGTGGCTGTGTGGAACAGTGCGACGTGGTGATTTGAGAAAACCTTACAGAGAACATAAATGCATGAGTATCAAATCGTTTAAGCAGATGATGTCGGTGTGTAAAATAACCATCGACTGAGTGATTAGAATAATGATTGGCTTATTTCACAGGGGTTCATTTAGTGATTGACTGCAGTTAACGAAGCACAAAGCAGCTGTTTAAAGCTTCCAGGGGATGGACCTGCCTTTATAATCCACAAGGGCTCCATCTGCTTCTCAGTCAGGGAGGACATCAAGCTCAGCATCCCCAGCACACACTCTCCTGAGCATCAATCTCCCCCTGGTGGTCACAAACACACAACTATGAAGACTCGCACAGGACTCGAATTCATCTCACTGTTAGTTAAAAAACTAAGAAGCATATAAAAAGCGGTGGCAAAGCAGAGTCATGGGAGAATTATGAGCGCAAAGACACAGCAAAGTCTAAAGGCTTAAAACCAACTTGAAGCTAAATGCTTGAGTAAAAGAAGCCAGTCCTGCATTACATGTCCATTTTACGCCGATCAATATTCTAATGCAGCTTTCACGTGTCTGCATGAGCGCCCGTTTATTTCACAAAGCAGAATAAGAAAATTAGGGAGATACTGGAGGCTGTAATCCTGTGATCCTGGTGGACTGGATTTGAAGATGACATTTTATGACTGTGATTCTAGCACATATATTGCAGCTGTTTCTTTGCTATTTTCAGAAATCACACAGTCACTGTATAAACATTTAATCATTGTGTGTGAAATACAACATGACGTCAATATTGTGCTTCTCAGTTAATAAAGTAAACATTCAGAGTCAACTCTGGTTCCTCCACATTGTTTCACTGTATATACTTCAGGGATGAACCAGTGAGGTCAGTGGAAACTTGCTGACTCACCTCCTGCCTACCCTTGTCAGTGTGTACGTGGCCAGGGTGCAGCTCAGAAAACAGGATCTCATCCTTCTACAGCTCCTCTGGAGCGCAGAGTGTCAGTGTCTCAGTGTGTTCAAACAGTCCTGCGAGCAGAGGAGTGGGAGGAAAAGGAGGGAGCAGAGAAAAGAACAGTGACAGAGCAGCTGAGGTGACGGGTGAACAGTTCCCCTGGATGACTGTAAAATGAGGCCTTTGAGTAGCGGGGCACAGTGACAGCAGGCTGTCATAAATATCTTGCTGATGCGATAGAAGACGGCTGGGAAGCAGGCATATGAGGATTCTGATGAACCCAGAAGTGAGGAGATGCTGAGGACGGCTGCTTTGCTGCTGGAAAACTCAGACATCTCACTGGCCGTCGCTATTGCACAAAATTCTAATGATGACCACTGGGAGGAAGAGAGGAAGTCGGAGGGTGGGAACTGGAAACTTTCACCGAATAGTGGGTTGGCGCCACCCAATTTCCTTCTTTTATTTTGAAAAAATGCAGTATTACAATTTGTGTGCTAGTTACAACACTTGGTCCTCCTCTTTCCTCATTTTGGCCCATGGCATTGGTGTTGACGGTCTTCTGCAAGTCCTCAGGACTGATGTCCTGCAGGCTGCCTCTGGCCAGGCACCCTGCATTGTTAATCAGCACGGTGAGACCCCCGGTCCCCATTGGAAAGCACACCTGCTAGGCAAACCGTTTTAAGCCACAAAGGTCAGTGGCATCTGACAGAGAGAGAAAGAAAGTGGAGCATCAGCTGCGGTCAACGGCAGATAGTCAGACAGGCCTACTCATAGAGTCGAGGCCAGCCTTGACTTGGGAGCAGGATGGAGCGGTTAATAGAATATGACAGAGGAACAGAGCTTGATGCGGATGATGTTGGGATGCTTCTTTGCCAGTGTTTGAAATGCCTGTAAACACAGAGAAAACAGTTTCATCACCCAGATGATGCAAAAACGAATCCCGCACACTTGTACTCATTTTTATCTATGCAGGATTTTTGCTTCTTGTAAGTCATAGCAACTCCCTGAGCTTATTGAGGCACAGAGGAGGTTAAGACTCTCACCTCAGCCCTTCTGGGTCCCTGCAACAGGCAACCAGCTTTCTCACTGGATGGGGGGCCTCCACCACATTTGCTTAACCGTCCCCAGACTCAGGCCTCTGTTGGCTCCGGTGATTAGCACGCCGACTGCTTGGACCGCCATTTCCTCTGCCTCATTTTGCACATTTCTCCAACTGAGCCCTTACATTCAGGCTCTGTTCAGTGTTGAGTCTTTAGCTTGGCCACACCCATACTCTCATATCACGTAGTGTGTTCATTCTTCCGCTTCTTATTAAAAAAGTTCTCGATAAATTCTTTCCATAAAAGGAAGTGAAACAAACTTCCAGCGGGCAAAAGCAAACTCATGGCAGCAAAGAAAAGAAATAAATATGATGATGATGATGATAATGTTTAAACATGCTAGATGAAGAGAATGGTTCAATTTTTCAAAGCTCTGAGTAAAGCAACACAAACAGAAAAGATGTCTAGTGAGCTGACCCCTGGTTAAAAACACACCCTCGGTTTTGTTCACACAATCTTACCTAACAGTATACACATGAAGAGACATGTTAGACTTATTTAAGTCACACAGGTGTAACACCTGTGATCTTTGGTGAGGTAGGGGGACATTACAGGAAATGAATTAGAGCCATTTAGTGTGAATCACACACAGTGTTGATGTATGGAAGCAGAAATAACTGTGACCTCGGTAAACCACATGGGAGACATACTGCATCAGATAATCAAGTGATTCATTTAGGAAATAAAACAATGTGACTCCTTTGATGTCAAGTGGTTTTACATGTGCCAATCGGTACATGATGCCATGAATCTAATGCTTGAAGTGGTTGTGAGAAGATTCCGCTATACAGCTGCACAAATTGACACCAAAACAGCAATAAAGCAATGACAAGCTATAATGACTGACTTTAATATGTACATATTTCCATCTGTTTTAATGGCACTGAAGCTACAGCAGTGGTGTTTGGCAGGGGCGCCGGTTAGCGCTCCCACCACATGGCTGCACCGTTTCTGTGCGAAACGGCCCGTTCAGAACTTCTGACAAAAGATTTACAGAGGCTTGCAAATCCTTGGTAAACAAATGGCATAAATGTCCACCCTAACAAGTGATTCACTGTAATATCAATAATACTGTAGCATATTGAAATCTCATGTTTCTTTAAACAATTGAAAATCTATGACATAAGATAAACAAGCAGAATGATTTCACTCTACTGGCACATTTTTCACTTGTTTTTAGAAAAACAAGATTTTTTCTGATTGAATCCCAAATTATAATATATATGTCTATACTAAAATAACAAACTAATTACTTGTTAAAGTGGATATTTATAGCAATGTGCAATAAATACGGCAAATATTTACTTGTAAAGCTTATAACAGGTTGGATCAACACATTTCTGACTCTCAAAAAGGTTCAATTATAAGCTTTACAAAGGTTGTACTGTATTTGTTGCAGGGCTATTATGTCACGGTATATTATTTTGTCCATCCCCTGCATCTCTAACATGCATGTCAGCAAAAGCAAGCTGGTGGCTGGGCGGCTCACACCGACTGGCAGAAGCAGAGAAAGCGGGACTTTAAGAAAAAATGCCCTGCACTGACCATGTGTGCTCGCTGTCTGATTTTCTCCATCGTTGAAACCGGTGCTCTTTGGGTTCCTCCACTGCTGGTGAGCGTAAAATTAATGTGTGTGTTTGAGGGTGTAAGCGACAGGTACACAGTTTCAAAAGGGCTTTATGAAGACCAAATAAAAAATAAATAAATATAAAAAAAAAGAGAAAACCTCACAGGATGTCTGCACTGTAGCGTCACTTCCAGATACGCCAAACAACATTAAGTGTGACGAAACATGCCTACAACAAGGAGAAGGACACAAAAAATACATCCCTTGACTTTCATTTGGCAGCAGATTCCTTTGGCTGTCCGCATAAAATTGGCAGTGTCTTGCTCTTGATCCATAAGCACATGTACACATTCGTTCACGCACCTGCAGATACATACAGTACACGCATACATACACGCCGCACATACATGATGCAGTACATAACATGCACGTACACAGATATAAATACATACAGTTTTTCATTAAATGCACTTCTGTGTCCGCAGCTCTCCGCTTTGAAAATAGGAAGGTGCATAAATAAAACATTCCCAATCGTTATAGAAAAGGTCCATGCATGTCCGGCACCTCTGAGTTCAACTAGACTGAATGTGGAGGAAAATATGAAGGCCATGTGCCATCGGGCTGCATTCCACTCCGTAGAACCAGTTCTTTATTTCTGCTTCTCCCTCAAGAGTGTGTTGTTGTGTCTCCTCTCTCTGGCAGTGGTTTGACAGTATGACAGTATATTTGTCTTTTTTTTTTTCTTTTTCTTTTTTTTTTTAAGTCTCTCACAGATGGGTGCTGTCCTGCGTATCGAACCTGTGGCTCTCTGAGAGCCCGGCATTGCACTTCCTGTTGCTCCCCTGATTGGGTACCAGAGAGAGGGGATCTGGTCTAATCAGGTATCTGCAGATGGGGCACAGACAGGGCAGCAAACAGCATCCTGTAATGTTTTATAGTTTTCACACTGTGCTCATTTTACAGCGCTATCAATTACATTTATGTTTGTGTACTCACACGACATCGTGAAGCTCCAGTCTGGTATCTGGAGAAGGGTTGATAAGGATGTACGACAGTCTGTTCCCTTGGTCTGTCATCCCATCTGACACAGGAAGAAGAGAGGTGAGTGGGGCAGGAAATAAAATAGGCACAGGATATACAGCAGGCTGTGCTACATCCGTGCTCTACAAACAGAATAGAGGCTACGTTACAGTGAGTCATGAGACAGGAAGACAAATTTAGATAAAAATGGAAACAGGCAGAATACATAGAGAGTAACAGACAGTAAACAAACAGTGGGGGAGGAGGCACTCAGATCCTTCACTTAAGTTAAAGCACCAATACAACGATGTAGAAATACTCCATTACAAATAAAGATTCAAATGTTTTCATGTACCAAAAGAAAAAGAAAAATGTGTCCTATGAATGGCATGTTATTTTTTTTATAACTTTATTAGATAGTTAGTACTGATACATTAATATACGTATAGCATTTTATTATTGCAGCTGGTTAAGGTGGAGCAAGTCTTAACTCCTTTATACACAGTTATGTATTATTTTGCTGGATTTTTGGATCTTAAACATTGAAGAATTTAACCTCTTTGACATCTGAAATGAAACAAGGAGTCCAGCCAACCAGACACTGCTTTTTTGTAAGGGCCAAAGGGGCCATAAGCCACAATGGTTGGTCTAATTTTTAATGAGGCATTGTGTTTTTATAACCTTATTGTGTGTTACTTATGTAAATATTCATTTGTATGGTAACTAGTAACAGTAGTTCTGTACTTGAGGTCAGGAGCGGAGTGGCACAGACTTACTGAATCCAGTTGGAGAAAGGCCCAAATGTTTCATCCTCGTTCGCACTAGGGCGTTGAGTTCCTGCCTCTCCGAGCGCCTGAACAAGGTCAGTCTCTGCTGGCTGATCCTCTCTGCCGCACTCCCCGGACCCCCCTTGGCCCCGCTGGAGCCCCGACCTCCCTTCCTGCTCAGCCGCCGTGCCCACTGCATGCTCTTCCTCCGGAGCAGCGGGTGGTCGGAGGAGTGGGAGGAGGTGGAGATGGGCTCCGAGGAGGTGGAGTTACGGTGTGCGCTGGTCCGGGACAACAGGGGCTCTCTGGGTTCTCTGGTGTCCTCGTAGTCCTCCACTGTGATGGATACCTGGGACTGAGACACACACATATAACCGCATATTCACATACACAAACCTTTCATTTCCTCACGTGGTGTAATCAACCTGTTATCACACAGATTTTATTAAATTCTTCACCAGTACTGACTCTGATTTCTCACAATGAAGAGGAATTAATACTTTCTTATCACAGTAGAAATGAATGATGAACAAGATACACTCTGCTGCATATACTGAAGAGTCCAAAAGAACCATCGCACCCCTGGTTTTTCTTTAAGAAATGAATGAACTGTTAATCGCCACTGCACCATGCTTAATATATGATATGACTGTGCATTTGTTTTTTTACTGTTGCAGCCTGTGGAGCTCCTCTGTTTCACATGTCAAAACTAAGACCTGACTGTGTCTTCATAGCTCTGCATCCATTTGTTGGCAAAACATGGACAAATTCAATCAGCATTTGGAGAAATGACTCTATTTAAACGAACCTTATAAGGGGACGTACAGAAATGTTATTGTAGTCAATGAAAGAGAGACATTTTAGTAACTGGGAGCAAAGAGAAAATCTTTTGAGAGTGTGTTTAGTTTAATATATTAACAATAGGGAATTTAAGGAACCATGTGGACTTTAATCTCTTTATATTTGTAGCCCTTCTGCTAGTTAAGTTTAACAAAAATTGTCAGTGTTTTTTACTTTTCTTTCTCTAACTCCTTCTTTTTGTTGGTGTAATGAACATTATAGCCGCTAGGGGTCTACCAGGGCTTTATAGATGTCCTGTTTAGTTTTCTCAGCCAGTCCAGTGACTTCAATCCATTGATTTTTGGCCGCAAATCTGAAAACTAGATCAGAACAGCAGCTGACCTCAGAGACCGGAAGCTTGTGGGCCTCTGTCCGGTAGATGCCGATGGGTATGTCTCCAGTCGAGGAGCACAGTTTCTGGTAGAGCCTGCCGTAGGTGCGGATCCACAAGTCATCCTCTGTGATTTTCATCTAGAAAAACAAACAAAACAATCATCAGCCTCAGAGGCACTTGGCTGTCCGCACAGACTGAATTTGTGCTCAGCTACTTACTGCACAGAGGAAACCTGAGCCGGGCATGGAGTCTAAACCCAGCAGCAGCCTGGTGATGGAGATCATGTAGTCCTTCACAAATGACTGGAGGGACAGCACAGCAAACAAGTCGGCAAGAATAGATCACATTTGGCGTTTTTTGCAACACTGAGGAGAAGCATTTCTTTTTGTTATTCAGTGGGAGGAATCTTTGAGATACCTGGTAGAGCAGAGTGTCCAGCATGCTGACACTGAACACCTTCCCTGCAGCGAAGGGCAGGCGGAACATAAACACCAGGTTGGACCCTTTCTCCCTTTCCTTCTGCAGAGCAATCGCACACACACATGCACGCACGCACGCACGCACGCACAACCGAACACACACACACACACAGACACACATACATACACGGATTACACTAGCCCTTGAAGAGATGAGATGATGTAACAGAGATAGTAGAGACGATGTGTTGTAAGCTTCATCAACAGTGTATTTTTTCATTTTAAAATTAATTTACAAAGTCAATGGCTCAAGTCTGTCCCAGAATACACTGGGCTGAAGGTAATACTTTTATTCTTATATCCTGGTCAGCGTTCCCACTACATTTGACCTGCATATTAATGTAATGATCATGATCATGCGAGGGAAAGGCTGGATATCCAGCAAAGGTCATTCCTGCTGTGAGGAAACACTGCTAGAAACTTCACAAACAGTCATCTCATAATAATGCTAATGCCAGATCGAAATTCGTTTTAAGATGTGGTGTCAAGCAGAGACTAATTTACTGATTTGTTGATAAATGTTATTGATGCCTGCGGGGGGAATTCATTAGCTGCCACACAGTGAACAGCAGTCATTTAAAAAGGCAAGTAGCAGTGCGGTGTAAAGAACAAAAGGCACAAAGGCTATAATCAGTTACAAATGTTCTCTGGAAACTTTACTGTAGATGTGACAAAAGATCTGTGCAGCTTATCACATTAAAACAAAGCATCATGAGCTGCCCTTCAATGGATGTACGTATGTCTAAATCCACTCTTTCATAATGCAATACGGTCTGTTGAGTTTCTCCTCATTGTTCTACCATTACGACCTCTGAAGGAAATGAGGGAGAAATGAAGTGGAGGTGTGAGGGTGTGAAGCTTTTACCTTTTCCAGTTTGGACAGAGCCAGAGAGTAATGGTCTTTGACTTTGAACTGCATGAAGCGCATGTTGGCTGGGTGCGTGAGCTCCGTGATGATACTAAGAGCTGGGAATAGTCTGAGAGGAAGAAGAAGAAGCACAGAGATAATGGATAACAAAAAAAAAAACCAAAAAAAAAACCAACTCACTCTAAGCCAATGTGTGAGATTGCAGAGCAAGTTTGGGCAAAGCAGACCTGAAGAGGGTCTGGACATTGACGATGGTCTTTGCATCAGCCATGTAGTCCTCCTCTGCAATCATGGAGCTCTCTTTGTCAACCACCACCATGGTGTCGGCAAAAGTCACCCCACATCGAAGCAAACTGTCCAGACTGGAGGGAGTGAGATGAGAAAGCATAGGACCGTGTTGAAGGGCAGGAAGGATAACTCAAAGAGAAATCTATGTCATTTGGGAGGCGAAAAAGCACCTGAATGAATAAAGACTAAGGAAATAGTAGCAGATGAAAAAGAGGAAGACAAATGGAAATGGAAATAGCCTATGGCTTTGGTTTTTCTTACTTGTCGATGGAGCCCACTGTGTAGAACACCATGGGGAACCAACAGATTGCCTCCAGGAAGTCTGCTTCAGGTCTGAACCAATCAAAACACAAATGGGCTTGAGAGTCTCACCAGTAGAGATGCACACATGCCATGATGAAGAGAGACAAACAGAGAAACACAGAGAGAGACCCCCCACAACCCCCAGCCTGACCTCAGTCAGCCTGAGAAATACAACACAGCCAAACTGCCTTCAGAGAAAGCTGAAAATATCAGCACTACGCTGGAGTGACTCAGCATTTTATTGCTTTTTTTATTGGATTCCACTCTCATTTGGCTGACTGCGCTTGTGTACCAGCTACAAAAAAAAAAAACACACGACACAGGCGGGGTTGTGGAGCGCCTTGTCCTGAAAGCATTCACCATTTCACAAATCATGTTTACTGTGAACTCTAATAGCTCAGATCTTCTCCTCCAGTGGCTATTTAAGGAGTAACCTGTTTTACCATCATTCGACACATCACATGTGTCCTTACACGCTCTCCAGCAGCAGCACAATGGGGTTGAGCTCCTTCCTGGGTCGGTAGTAGGCCCGCAGAGGCACGATGAAGTTGTAGAGACCGTTCCCTGCGCTCTCCGCAGACACGATGATCAATTTGTTTTTGAAGCCGTAGGAGCGGGCATCCTCAAAAGGGATGTGGTGACAAGCCTAGGAGAGACAGAGAGCAGAAGGTGACGGCGATGTGAATTTGTCAAATAAAGACAGCATGACATTTAAATCCCATACCTTGTCCATACGCAGGCAGCAGAAAGGCATCTTTTCTTGAAGGAGGTGGCACAGTGCAGGAGAGCTGCCGATGTACGGAGAGTTCAGCGGGTACCCCTTCACCCACCTGCGGCACAAGCCCACAGTTACCTCTGAATAAGCTCACATGTCAACATTCAAACAGCATCCTCACTACGTACTCGCACTGTCGGCCCCACCAGTGGGCACTCTCGTCCCTGTCGCAGTCCTCCTTGCCCTCCTCTCCTGCCTCGTCCTCTGATTGGTCTCCCAGCAGGTCAAAGGTGGGGTTGTTGACTCCATCTACCAGCTCCAGGACGGGGGCGATGCTGTGCCGTCGCTCCTCGGCTGAGTCTCCCATGGCAGGCAGGGCCAAGGTGTTAGCGCCCCCCACCTCCGTCCTGGAGCTGCTCCTGCTCCCTCTTCCGCTGCCCAGCCCCGTGCTCCCCGGGTCCTGGCCTTCCGGGCTGCTGTCGCTTGAGTCCTGCAGGTCGATGGCCACTGTGCCTGAAACATACACACAAAACCACAGCGATTATCAAGGCAGAGATGGAGCAAACAGTTCAAAGACAATGCATGGTGCATCTGCACAGAAACCCATACAGCAGTGAGAGCTTTGAAAAGCAGTGAGCTTGGCAGTTTCATTGTTGTCCAGCAGGTGGTGTGTTTGTAGAACCACCGTATCTGACATTTCGGTTCATTTGGCAGTTGCTCTTATCAAGTGTGACTTATAATCAGATAAATGTTAATTCCTCTGTAAAAGCATGCATATTTTTAGTCACTCAGATTGGTTATAAATGTGAGAACTGCATAATTCTGGCAACTGCTGTGTAGGACAGTTTAATAACGGGTTTATGCGTTTGACCAACACAGAAAATGGAAGGTCAGTGTGTAAATGCTACGCCGTATTTGTGCCCGTGCCCATCTGACTGACCCATGCTGGCGATGATACTGTGGACTGGCAGACGGGTGAGTCCATGGTAGATGGTTTGGTGTACTCCCCTGGCGTTTCCTCCTGTGCCACCCCACGATGGCTCCCTCCGGCCTCTGACGAATGCTGAGTTCTCTTCTTTGGAGATGTTGATGTAAAAGCATATGTCCGAGCCCCCCATGATGTGGCAGGGACCGGGGTTCAGCAGGATGTTGGTGTTGTCCAGTCTGCGTACTCCAATCAAACACACTCCATACCTGTAGCCACAGAGAAAAGATCAGCTCGGTGCAGGTTGGTATGTGTGTGTGTGTGTGTGTGTGTGTGTGTGTGTGTGTGCGTGTTCTCATTTCTTAGCCCTTTTCACATGACTTACTTTTTGTGAGCATGAAAGGAGGCAAAGGTGAAACTCTTGCCCTGGTATTCCCCAAAGAATTTACTTTCCTCCAGGCGAATGTGATGCACCTCATTGGCTGAGCAGCGGCGGTAGGTTCGGTGCCACTGGTCCGCCGAGCACGCACCGCCCTCCCTGAGACAGAAGAAGAGGATTGATTGGCTATGTGGCCATTGACCTTTAAAACACATAACACAAAGCGTCTAGCTCAGCACCAGGGCCACATCAGAGGCTTTGCAACTCAAGGCTGCAGAGGTAACATCTAGCATCCCTGTCAGAGCTGTTGATCAATACTTCAATCAGCACACGGATGTAGGCAAGGACACCCAGCCCGTATGAACAGATGCACACATTCATACAGTTAAGTGGGCAACAGTTCTCTCGGGGGGATAAGGCTTTACACGCGGAGGCTAAAGGAGGTGACAACAGGAAACAAGGTTGTGGGGGCAGTGTGAGTGTGGGTGGCCGGCTACAAAGACTGCATTATATAAACAAGTGTTAGAGCGAATTTGCAGTTTACAGGAGCTAAGTGCACGGCAGGGGAGGAGGACTACAAATCCTAGTCATGTAGCATTGTCACAGCCAACAAACCAAATGGCACTGGTCCAGATACAGAAGCATACTTATGAAACACCCTGCGTTTGAATGTTGAAGTCACTGGCCACCGATTCTTAAGTATTTCATTTAGTATCCTTTACACATAAATGCTTGCATTTCACATATAATCAAAGAGTTTATCTTTTTTACGTTTCTTGGCTATCCATATTGAAATAGTTCTATTGTACTCCCTTTATGTACAAGCACTACCGAAACAAACCTATAAGCACAGAAACAATATTGACATAGATTAGGTTGTTGTCTTTCTTTTATCTAATCTAACCTAAGACTTCGACTTTAGCAATGATCGTAGGTTTGTTTTTTTTATGGTCACTTCTGCATGAAGTGATGAACTGAAACTTGTGAATGCACCAGCAAATAAAACAGGGACTCAGTCACATTTAATCTTTTGCCTCTCTCCCATAGATCTGTGTAAAGCTTCATAAACATAACATGCTGTCTGCAGTTTACCGATGTCACACGCCCTGGTTTTTATGTATTCCATGTATTTCTAATGTAATTCAAACAACTTGAAACCATTTAGAACAACTGAAAAGTTTTGCGATTTTGATCAGAATAAATGAATCTTCTGACCGCATTTCCAAAATAACAAGCTTCTTTTTTATTTTGCAAAATCTCCACACACAATCACAGAGCCCAGCATGCCAACTATGGCAGCTGACAGGGGATTTGGGGGCGAACATTGAGCACAAATGTGGCACACAATGCCTGGGTGTGAATACGGATGAGATGCATCCTACCTGTTGAGGGCTTGAAAGGCTCCTACACGTTGCTTGAAGGCTTCTTGGGGTGCCGTTCTGAAAAAAAAAAGAGTGACATTGAGGAGGAAGGAAGCACCTGGTTTCGTTCACTATATCGACTGTATATTTGACTGTTAGACATAAAGAATCCAATAGAAAGAGAAATAAAAGGAGAGTACTCACTGTCCTCTGGAGGAGTGGATCAATAGAGTGATGAGTGTCGAGGTACCAGGGCACACACAGTTTAAAGCCAGCATGGCATATTTAAACTCCTCTTCACACACAACATGATCTGCAGAGACAGGACACAAGACGGTCACAGGGACCGAGGTCACGTACGCCTCGGCAAAACACAAACAGTCACATTGTGCTCCATAAAAGATTCAACTCTCAGCCGAACAACACTGCAGTGAATATGAATGTGCTGTTGGAAAAGACTCTAATGGCCTTGGTGTGTATGCGTGTGTGTGGGTGAGTGACAGGGGAAGCTGGCTTAATCTACATGAATGGGTCAGGGTCTACAATTAATCAGGTCCCTCAAAAGGGTCAATTCACTAAGGTCACAAAAACGAAAAAACACATTTTCTTCGTTACTCCCAGTGGTATTTATCCATATAGAGAGAAAAAAGAATTTCTTTTGTGGTGCTCAAGTTCAGGCTGCAATAACTATTTTACTGTTTTTTCTTTTGATTCATCATTTATGTTGTCAAACAATAGTTAAAAAATCCCAGAGCCCAAGGTGATGTTTACAAATTAGCTTTTTTTTTATATCCAACCATCAGTGCAAAACCCAAAGATATTCATTTAACAATGATATAAAACAGCGAAGAACAGAACATTTGAGAAGGTGGCAGCGGTTACTAATTGCCATTTTTGCACAAAAAAACAGACAAACTAATTATCTGAGATGTTATTGGTTATTTTTCTGCTAACTGACCATCAGTGAATTAAGTACACGTTTCATCAGTGGCTCAGTCACTGAAAAACAAAATCTGAGAAACTCAACAGTAACGTGTGTTTGCATAATCAATGTCCTGGTTAATCAGAATAATCCATAAAGTGGACAGTTTTCACTTTCATTGGGAGAAATATTCCCAAGAAACTGTGGCTCATACAAACTTATTCCCTACCTACAGTATATTAGTCAGGGCTCTGAACAAGGCCCAGAAAATTTGGGCCGACCTGAGGCACCCTTTGTTCAGGGAGTTCATACTGCGTCCGTCTGGTCGCAGGTACAGACTGCGAAGATGCAGAACTAATAGATTTAAGAACTCTTTTGTCCCTGCTGTTATTGGTTTCTTAAATAACTAATAATAACTTTTTTACCACTTTGTTTATTCAACAATTTGTAGTATTTATTGCACTGGATTTCTTTTATATTTATTGTTTAGAATCTATTTGATGTACTGTTTCTGTGAACGCACTGTTTCTGTGAGTGTTTGTGTGAGTCATTGTTTTACTGTAGTCGAACGCTATTGTTTGTGATCTATTTGGCAACTGCTGGCTGAACAACAATAACCCCTCGGGGGTTATAAAGATATTTCAACCTTTCGGCCTTTCAATTTAAGGAGGTTATGGATTTTCTTTAGGAGGTTGTACTGGCCAAGGACGAGGTTGTAGAGGTTTTTTTTTAGAGGGCTCTTGGAGTTGAGGTCCTAGTAGTCCTTCAGAAGATTTCTAGTGGGCCTTTATGGGATTTTAAGGGGTCCGCTAGGTGGTTAAACAGCTATGGGGTTCGGGTTTGGGAGATTTTGAGGTGATGTGTTAGAAAGCTTTCTCTGCCACCATCAGCAAAATGCCAAGTGAGGGAATGTCCTTTAGGAGATCGCTGTTCATCCCTCCAGTAGAGTTCAATACAAAATTTTATGACACTGCAGATCTTCTGGAGGCTCGTGGTGGAACATCACCGGACTGTCACGCTTTGGTTTCTTTTCCATCTGTATGTCACAGATTAGTTAAACAGACAGCCGTGTCAAAAAATCCTCCATCATCCTCCTCGCCCTGTGCAGACACATCCCCCGTTTTCCTCCTTTGGGATCAATTTTATGTCGCCGCTGTGGCTTCACCTTGCAGTTTTTTTGGAGGTGATGGGAAGACCTAGCAACAGGCCAGTGGTTCAGTGTCAGCTTTATTGAACCACCTTTGACTAACATCGTCGAACACTGAACACAGCCCTGCCTGTGACCAACCCGAACCGAACTGAACAGATGACAGTCTCTCATTGACCTGTTGCCACACACACACACACACACACACACACACACACACGCACAGCCCCGTCTTAGAGTGGAAAAACCAATAGAGCGATTAATGTTTGCAGTAAGCCAATCAGTGAATCAGGCCCAGGGAGCATCTATTTCCCCTGCTGTCGTAATTCTTGATTGCATTATCTTAAGTGATGAGCGCACAGGCAAATTAGGGCTCGAGCTGGGTCCGAAAAGAACAATATGTGCTCTGCATTAGGAAAATAATTGGTGACAAACGCCAGAGCCTGACATGAATTATCAAACTCAATCAGCTGCCAGTCTGAGTAACATGAGGCCAGCTGAATGTAAATGCAGTAAATTAGTCGGGTCTGTGTGTGTTGAAGCCGGGCGGGTGAAAGAAAGTGCCAATGTTCTTTCGGCTAAGAACAGTACATCATAATGCAGCTCACACGCAAACACACACACACACACACACACACACACACACACACACACACACACACACACACACACCCACACACACACTCATACACACAGTAGCCCCTTGCTGTTCAGCCTGTGAATTACTTTCAAAGCCGAAGCTTTTACAGAGCGTTGGGCATCTGAAGCTTGTGGAGGAAAAGACAAAAATACTGAGGTTGTATCTACGCAGCAACAGCATTCATTATTGTCACACACACATTCCTCTCTGTCTGGCTCTTACACACACACACGCACATACACACACACACACACACAATTTCCACTGTCCTTCTTGCACCTCTTTTCACCAGTGTGATCCCTTTGCTTCCCGTCTTCTTCTCTGCTTACCCTCCACCACAGCCCTCCATCCATGCCCTCATTCCCTTCAGGTGCCTGGACCCAGACCAGGAGAGAAACCAATTACCGACCTCGGCACACTGTGCATATACACACACACACACACACACACACACACACACACACACACACACACACACACACACACACACACACACACACACACACACACTGTATCTTTTTGTTGCCCAGGCTTAAAAGATCCAGGTTTTTGGACCCGTCTCTTCAAGCCACAAGTTGTTTTCTGTGTGTGTTATTGTGTGAAAATGTGGTCGTTTGCACCCTCTCCAGAGTGATATTACAACCTGAACACAGGTCCACCGGTTGGGCTAATTAAATCAGTAGACCCTTATTGTTTTTTTATTAGTGAGCTGCTATCAATGCCATGCCAGGACGGCGACGTGCTATTGTTGTTCAAAATATAAACTGGGGAGATAATCAATCCACACGCTGTACCCAGTTTGGTTTGGTTACTCGAACGCCTCAGGGTTTCCTGCTCTGCTGCAGCATCATACCGACAGATTTTTTTCTAATGAACGCTGGGCTGTTATTACGCTATTCCTGCGGATCAAATTAAATCTTGCATCTCTTGCTCATTAATGCCTCCCACACTCGCACTTAGTGAGTGTATTCCAAGTGGTGTCAAAACATGGCATCTGCACTTACAGTAATGCCCCATGTGACTGACTGCATGATGATTTGCTCTCAGAGTCTACCAGCAGCGACTCAGGGTTAGAGGGACATTAAAGTCAGTTGATTATGAACTTTGCTTTCTTCAGAGTCATTTGTTTTGAGTGATTAAAGAGGCACTTTAAGTTTCATTATACTTCTGCAGGGAATTTCTGTTTCAGCACTGAAAGGCTGTTGTGTCGGCGAGGGAGTGGCTGTCGGGTATTTCATCCAACACTGTGCAATTCACATACATGTTACAACTGTGTGACTCCAAGGACAAGAGCACGAGCTTTAACCCCACACGGCTTAACTGATAATCATATAATACAGCCAGCGTTGTCATGGATGAACATGAATTTATCTTTCTGCCGAACAATTCCTGCTTCCCTAATAACAAAGGCCTCAGCCTGGCTGTGGCAGTGACGTGTTTAAACAGCACTGCAGGGGCAAGAGAGGATTGCCTTCGGGGGCAGCTTTAGTGCCAGGTTAACGCAGCAACAGAACTCATCAAAAGAAGGGGATTTTCTTTGCCAAGGTAGCAAAGTCAAACGTTAATCATTGATAGAGACAGCTGGGATGAGGGCGGCGAGCTAGAACTGAGTTTGACATTCTCCAGGGCTGTAGGCAGAGGGATGTGTGAGAGAGAGAGAGAAGAGGAGAGGGTGAGAGCGAGTTTTTTTATTTCCTCTTCTTTCACTCGTAGATGATTGACTGCCGTCTTCTGTTGAGCAGGAGAAGAAGGGACGCTCTCCAAAAGGCAATGTAAGAACTCACAGATACCCCTCAGAAGGCTTACAGCCAAGCCGCCGCCAATCTGTCCGGCACTTCTTCACGGGTGGGAGGGCAGAGAGGCCCGCTGCTGCACTAGCACACTTTTTTAAGTCTTACAAACTCAGGTGGAAAATGTGACACGAGAGCTGATGACACACACTGGAAATAAAGTGCAGACAGGACAGCTCAGTTTCCCATGGCGGCGCAAATGCAACCCTGCAGTCGCAGAATAAAAATATTTGTCTAATCATCCATCATGATGAGTGACAACACAATTCCAGTCAAAAGCTGAACAAATTGGGCACCAGCTGTCATCCCATTATTTCCTGCGTCCCGATGTGATCAAACAGCAGTAGTGGCATCCAACAGCACATGAAAACCTTTAGCTGATACCTAAAGTCACTGCCAGTGTGTTTGACTTCCCGCTCACTGCTTACCTGCAAATTTGACGTGGAACTTGTTCTCTGGCTTGAGAATCTGCACGTAGAGGGGGCAATTTGGAGCGAAGTCTTTCACTGCCCAGGCTCGGAGGATGGTCTGATGATCCTGAGAAAATTAGAGACAGAGTGGAGTGAGATGGATTGGAGTGAAAACAAGGGGGAGAGAGAGAGAGAGAGAGAGAGAGGGAGAGGTAAAGAGGAATAGAGGTAGAAATCCATCGTTAGCAGCATCAGATTGTAGCTCCTCTCTAATAATCCTCTTAAACAGCTGACGGCACAGAGCAACTGAAGGGCCCTCGCAACAATTCAGACTAATGCAATTCTGACATCTTAGAAGAAGTAGTCAAGGCTGCACCAAACATGTGGCGAGGCCATGGAGAGGGAACTGAGTAAAACTGGTGGTGCTAGATGAATCATGGGATCATCAACGTCAGTAGGATTCATCCTCTTGGGACCATGAATGTCCCATTGAAAAATAAAATTGATAAAGATTCATCCAATAGTTGTTGAGATGTTTAAGTTTGGACCAAAGTGTCAGTTTTCTTAAAATAGAATAGATGACTACTTTTGGTTCCCTACCTTGACACACTTGTCATACAGGTGATTTGATTTGATGTTACATGAGGTCACTTCCACGTTTTCACATAAAGTTGCTTTGGTGTTTAGTGCTTAGAGATTTCTGAGAAAAATGCTGTTTTTCACACATGCCTGTTTATAGTGTCATTTTAATGTCAAGCCTGGGTTTCTTTGACTCTCAGTTTCAGTTGTTTTTACTGTGCAATTAATATTTTAGTGGAAAATCTTAAAAGAAAATAAAGCAACAAGCCAATCAGCCAGTGCAGCGAGCTAAATCCACTTGTATGAAATCCTGCTTTAATGAATTTCTATGAAGTGATGTTCTGAAAAAAAGCAGTTCACTCCAGAAAAATACAACCACTCATTTTTGGTTTAAGAAAAACAAAATAAGATCAGGCAAGAAGACTTAATGTGGATGTTTTGCAGTGTGAGGAGTCATGGCGATACAGCAAAGCAGTAAGGGACGTACAGCAGCAATGCGGTCCACTTCAAACCGGTTACTGAGGATAAAGCAGGCCTCAGCATCGTCCATCCTGCAGGCAGTTAGTAGAGCATGTGGCCATCGGAGCAAAAGAGACAGATGTATAAAGAAAGAAAGAGAGAGAGAGAGAGAGAGAGAGAGTCAGAGAAGTGATGAGAGGAGAAGACACAGCAAGGAGGGTGTTGTCATGTTATTGAGGGAGAGGACAAAAGAGAAAAAAAGCAAGACAATAGAACAACAAACGAACCAATGTGTCTTTCAAGCCTACGCCATTTATGGATGAGATGGTAGGAGGCGAGGAGACAGAGAGATTAAACAAACAGGCTTTCGCTCCTTTTCTTTCCTTGTGACAAAGCCAGTTTAAGGTGCTGTATTATCAGAAGCCAGGGGGTAAACAATAAGCAATATGGCTTGGCTATGACTGTGATTGCAGCTGTTACTGCAGCCTGTAGGTGATTTAGGTATTAATTATGAGCTCCAGCATCGACATGTGGGGCACAGACAGACAGACAGACAGACAGACAGACAGACAGACAGACAGACAGACAGACAGACAGACAGACAGTGTACATCCTAAAGTAAATACATGTCTAAAATCAGACAAATATCTTAATGCTAGATTCTGGATTATTGTAGTTTTGGTCACAGTGACTCACTTGGCCCTCATCAGGTCTTGGTCTTTGAGGGCAGACCCCTGCAGGTAAATGACTCTCTGGGCCCACAGGGGTACATGAAGGACCCTCCTGACCTGGACATCCATCTCCGCTGGGCACAGGATCACCACATAATAGTCCTACACACACACACGCACACGCACACACACACACACACACACACACACACACACACACACACACACACACACACACACACACGCACACACTTTTATTGAACAAGGAAATACGCACACATTGACTCACCCTCAACCAAACACACACATCTGCTCCTACATGAATAAGATATCAGTTTGATCTGTGCTATTGCTGAATTAATCTTCTGCCTTAACCTCAGCTGCTCGTTCTCCTGGAGAGGATTACAGACCAGAATCGCACGCAAAGACCCCCCCCCCCAAAACACCCTCTTGTCCTACTGAAAACCACTTGGAAGAGACCTGTAGGCGGGGGTGAGCGAAGAACTCATTGAGGAAGTCCATGAGGAGGTCGATCTTGAGACAGCTGACGCACAGCACCACGTGCTTCTCCGTCTGCGCCCTGTAGCGGCTGTAGTTCCCCCCGGACTTCTGCCGCTCCATCCACAGAAAGGCCAGCTGCTCGAACTGCATCCATCACATTCAACAGACGGAAATTGGATTAAGTCGGCTGAAATGCAGGGCGGAGCCAGGTGGTATATGAAAAGAAAACAATGCCTCATACTGTACAGTGTTTCCGTTTGATTAGGGAGAGTGTTTTGATGGAACTAAGATAAGTGGAGGTTTGGTTCAGGATGTGGCTGAACGGGGTTGTGATAGCAGAGATTACCAGGGGAAGGTAGGTAATGGAAATAAGTGAAGTAAGTAAGGAGAATGGTCAGGTGGATAGATGGGTGGTGGGAAGTGTTTTAATTTTACAGATTGAAGAGATGCAAGAAAGAGTATGATTTTAAAGATTTTCGCTGAAATATACACAGATAATTTACACTGAATATATTAGATTAAATGTTAGCATGAATTAGCATAAATCATGTATTTACCGCTGCAGACTGTACAGTAAAAAATGCCCTTTTCTAACAGGCAGAGATAAGAAAAAATGTCTGTGACAGAAAATGGTGAGAAAAAATAGCAGCGATCTTAAGATAATGTACTGTTTGAATTGTTTAAATTACATCACGCTTTTGTTGAGAGGGTCATTTTAAAATCATATCTTGACCCTAGTGTTACTATCTAGACTTCAATCCTGGGTAAGGTGAGTGAAATAAAAACCACAAATTATGAGCTCTCAGTTAAAAATTCAGTTAGTGGCAGAGGCTTTCTATTGTTCACTCTCTGAATACCCAGCATGCACCTCTCTCCTCATTAACACTGAAAGTTACATTTTTATTTTTCTCCTCATTCTGGTCTGGCAAGAACCATAATGATTCAACTTCATCTCAACTCAAGTAAGTAGGAAAAACACAGTTCCCCAATAATCCAAACTATCGCTTTCATACACAAGTGGCGTTGCGACTCCTGTTGGTAATAACACACACACATTTCGCTCGTGAACGGAGCTCAGTACACTCAGTTCGTTTGTGTCGTGTGCTGTTTTTGTCTGTGACGTCATCATTTTGCCTTCGATAAATTTGCTCCATTTAATGCTGAGTGATAATGTCAGCTCGTTAAAGCTGGAAATCATCATACACATCCGTATGACAACGTAGCTGTATTCAGAAATCATTTGTGTACAGCCAGTTCTCGATAGCACAAACTGTGGACTTGTGATGTAACAATCGAACCTCTATTTTAGTGTGTCCAGATTTCTTTTGAGTAAAGTCTCCAAACTGGTGAAACTGAATTAACAGGAACAAATTACCTAAATGGTTGACTTTTCATCTTATTTTCAAATCAATATCCTTTTAAGGTTCAAAATGACACAAAATGACTTCAGGAGGGGCATTTCCTGTTGTGCTGTAATGTGTTGTTTTCAGTTACAGGAACCAATCGAGACAGCAATAAGAAAAAGACAGTGGTTGAATCCTGATGTGCTCTGTGGCTCCCCTGTGCAGCCTGGAGACCGGTGGTGGCAGGACTCACACACACACACAGGGTAGGGGGTTTGGGTTGGGACTAAGGGGGGGAGCCAGTTTCTAAATGTCAAAGGGTATTTATGGATGAAAGATGGGGAGAGGGAGTGGGGAGGATGACATGGCATCCATGTTGATGATGCACAGATCGCCATTTCTTTCATGAGTCAGCTCATGAAAGTTCTGCAAAAGTATCTTCATGCTCATCTCCTTTGTTGGTGTCAAGATTTATGTGAAGGTTTTCGTTCAAACCTTTACATTTAATAGCTGGTTGATCAGTAGGATGTAGGATGCAGCCCTAAACCTACTGCAATTAAAAACAAAAGAAAAGCTATCAAAGTTGTGTAGTGTCATTGCAAATAAATCCAATTTGCAACAAGACAAGACTGGCAGTAAACCAAATCACTTGTGAATTGGTCATGAGTTGTGTGTGTGTGTGTGTGTGTGTGTGTGTGTGTGTGTGTGTGTGTGTGTTAGATTCCCTCCTGTAACTGCAGGTACAGCACATACACACGGAGGAAATTCCACCTGTTGGCACTTTCACATCTTTTGGTAGACACACACAGGTACCGCTGGGATAAAAGGTTTGCACAAATATGAGGGACAATCATTAGGATACAGGTGGAACTGTCATGTTTGTCAACGTGTTTTTAGCAGTCCCTGCACAAATGTGTGTAAACCCTGTCCCTGTCGTTCTCCGTCACAAGCTTCCCTCTGCGGAGCAGCTAAATGACAGGAGAGGGATTCGGGGAATTGAGAGAGTAAGAAAGACACTCTCACTGGTCTCTGAATAAAAATAATGTTGTAAATCTATGTAGGATGCAATGACTCATCATATTATTGTACAAGGGGGGGAAATATAAGAATTATTAGTCAAAACTTTATTGTAATGAACTTTTACCAAAGAAAACAAATTGGGTTTTGCAGGTTCCAAAGACACAGTGTTTCAGTGGCCTTCAAGGATCCTTGACTCATTGAACAAAAATAGTTTTTTGGGTCATACTAAACTTTCTAAGTTTTCTGTTACATGTCATATTTGTTGTGTGGCATTACACCAGGGTTATACTTTCACCATCCGCTATAGGGTCCGTGTAATGTAAATGTATTTATCGGATGGTGTGTGTGAGGCTCTGGCGCGGATATCCACGTAACCTCTACGCAACAAGGGCACCAACTGCGCATGCGCTGGAAAACAAATATGGACGCTGAGTTTGAAGAGAGGCCGCTACCATCACCGCTACAGTTCATCTCTCTATTCACCTCTACAACCAAATGTGTAGTAATTCTTCTTGCATGTATGATGCCATTTTTGTGTGATTTGTAGTGAGCATGCACCGAATACGTAGTCAATGATCTGCTGTGGAGTAAAAGATTAAAGACAACTACGCGTTTGTGGTGTCCGCAGCTGTATGTGTCCGCAAGTGAGTATAATCCTTGTATTAAAGGTTATCATCATTGTTTCCCACCTGGATGGGGAGCACGATGAGCGCCACAAAGATCATGATGACCACCAGGAGCTGCGAGGGCCAGATCTGGGGGGTGACATCTCCGAAGCCCACTGTGGAGAAGGTGACCACGCAGAAGTAGAGCGAGTCAAACAGGGTCAAGTTGTTGCCCGCTCTTTCGAGGTGTTGGATACCGCAGATGCTGAAGGAGGTGGGCAGGAGGGTGGGAAAAATGGAGAAAGAAAGAAAAGAAAGTGAGAATCACTGAGGAATAAGACTCCACGTGTTGGATGAAGTGTAAGTGCCTCGTGGGAGCAATTACACACAGAGAGCGGCTTTTCATGCTTGTTGATACATGTGTGACTTTACATGTGTGGTGATGAGGGTGGATGCACGCTTGAGCGCCTTCGTTGTATATTTGTCTATCTAAGTGTGCAAACGCAAGCTGTGCGTATTATTGTGATCTTTAAGGGATAGATGAGTCAACAGGCAAATGTCAACCCTGAAACGGTCAGAGAGCTTAATTCATGCTGTGTGTAGGATCTCCTGGATTAGCTCAGGCTGTCACATCAGATATGCCGCGAGCTGACACATCCTCCACTGCACTGAGGCAATCGCCAGTTGTCATTTCAGAGCTCTATCTCACTCTCACAGTTACCAATTACCTTTCTGCTCTCAGTCTTTCTCTCTCTGAGCTCTGGGAGCAGCCCCTTTTTTCTTTCATTCTCCTGTGCCTTTTTTTTTCCCCTATTGCATGTATCACACTGTTGCTCGTCCATGGCATCCTCCTTCTCCTTTCCTCACCCTGTCCACGGCTGTGACAGCCTTCACTTCCTGTCCAGCCTCCATTTCCCTCTTTTCTTTCCCCGTTGCCCCCCACCCTCCTTCTCAGCTCAGTGTCAGCAGTGAGGATACCCACCATGTAAACATGAGACAGACCAGCGTGCTGATGAGTATCACCACCTGGTTAAACATGGCTGAGTGCGTCCGCTGGATTGCCCTGTGGAGATCATTCTGCGAACAGACAGACAGAGAGATACGAGTGAATGTGTGGCAACCACAACAACACGAGTTCTGCACTGTTAAAGTGTAAAGTGAAGATAAAATGTTGTTGATGAATAGTAGGAAAAAGATGGATGAAATATAAAAATGCACTCAAAATGAGTTGAACACGGCAAAGTGCTGGAATATACAGAGCAGAGAGCAAGCCTAGTTAGCATGATGTGATGGAACAGATGGAAGCAGGGGATTTGAAAAGCTTCGTTACCAAACCCAAGTTGCAGGTTTGAATATTTAGTGACTGATTTGAGTGTTTAAGATAAAGCTGTTGAGCTGAAATGGCAGAGGCTGAGAGGGGCGACGGCATGCCAACAAAATAACAGAGATGTCGAGATGAAAGTGATAGGAAAATTGGACAGGGAGATGCTTCACTCACTATCATGTTCTCCAAAGCGTGTTTGGCCAGCCAGCAGTTGAGAAATACAGGGATGAAGAGATTTCTGAAGGAGGGCAAAATCACCTGCGAAGAGGAGAAAGCGTCAGTCACTTTTATTTGAATACACTGTACACTGTCACAGGATCTCTTAAAAACAAACATTGTGATTGTGTGAGCATGTGTCTGTTGAGATGTCCTCTCTGTATGACTGCAGCGGGTGTTAAACGAGTGAAGGGAGGGGGATGGGAATGTGGTGCTTGACAGCCAAAAAAAAAAAGGAAAAAAACAAATATCTGCCTGAGAGACTCCCCATGCTGTCAGTGCTCAGTAACGCATATCCTTCCACTCACAGTGATCATGAAGGGAACGGCGCTGATCATCTCCAGAATGAAAGGGACACGTAATACTTGCTCCCAAACGTTGCCCTGGAAACATAAACCACAGACAGGGGTCAGGGAACTCTATTGTCATGGCGACCTTAGGGGATTACCACATAACAGGCCCAGTAGCAGAAACAAGGAGAGAAATTGATCAGCTTTTGCACCATAGAACAGATTGGAGGGATGTATGAAGCTGATATAACTCCCTCGTGCCCTTTGAGAAAAGAAGCAGCATTTCTTAGTTTCCACTAAGCTTTGCCATTCAATTAAGATGTCAGCCGTGGCTGTTTTTATGTGTCTGACGCCTGCATATAGCTGACCTGAATCTGACTAGTGTAGGTGGACAGGCACAGGGTATGTCCACAGGAATCAGTCAGCTCTAAATGCTAAGGCCTCTAGCCTCCAGAGTAATCTGCAGAGAGACCCCTTCATAGGCTTATAGTGTCAAGTACATCAAAGGCAGGGCAACCCGTTGATGGATCGGTCCCCCACTGCAGCAACGCAGGGGCCTCCCCCTAAAGTCTTTCTGATGTGTCAATAACAGGACGGTGCTGAAGAAGCCTCAAGGCCCGCTGAGGTGCTTCTCAGGGGAGGAGAGAAAACTTCAGTTTAGAAGAGAGAACACACAGAGGAGTGCAAAGTGGAAAAACAACCCCTCCCCTCCCCTCCCCTTCCTCTCAGGGATATCAAATGCATGCACACCCACGCACACACGCCACACATGTGGACATCACAAAAGGCTTCAGACTTCGCCGTGGGGGGGGGGGGCATGAGTAACTCACCTTGTAGCTCAGATACACGAGCAACATAGTTTCTGAAAAGCTGATGAAAGCCACAAGCACCGGCAAGAAGAGAGAGAGAGAGAGAGAGAGAGAGAGTGAGCAGAGTGGGAGAGTAAGAGAGAAAATGTAGAGAAACGGACAGAGAGAGAGGGAGAGCTGAGGGGAGTCGAAATAGAGAGAGAGACCAGAGCAGAGAGAAATTAGGAGTCGCAGAGATGGAAGAGGAGAGCGTGGGAGGAATCAGTGGGCGTGCTGATGATTGAGCTTCAGAGGGAACAGGTTTAAGTGAAGCAACAGACAGCCTGGTGTCTGATTGTGTGTATGTATATAAGTGTGTGTAATCATACTTAAAGTGTAAATACATATCAAGTACAATGATCTGACTTCATGTATTCAAGCCCTGAAATGATGTGGCGTGAATTAATTGCCCATAAACCAATAAAAAGGAATGCAGACATTTTTGCCATGTGCCCGTGCGTGCACTCATGTATGCAGAAATGTGTGTAAACAGATTGAGGCCTTGTTTGCACAGGATTGTACTGATCTATCTGACCTGCAGTGCCCACAGCGGCAGAGGTCTATCCACCCAGATGATCAGTTTCCTGCAGAGTGGAAGAAAAAGAAGGAACAGAGAGGAGAGGAGTGAAATGTTGCAAAGAAAGACAAAAATTAGACAGTGGCAGCAAAGACGGACAAGATATTTTTAATTCGGTTATGCCCAACACAATGACACTCTCAACAGGGATCATGAAAGCAACTCCCATCACCGCATTAAATTTAATTATGCTGTTTACAACTGCACATCAGTGGAGTGCACAGCTGCCAGCACCCTTATATTGTAGGAGAAAAGTAATATTCACACAGTCAAATGGAAATTTACAGCGTTATTGTGAGAGAAAGGCCTCCCTTTTTTTTCCAAAGACACCCTGGGGCTTATCATGGCTGCTTGGCTGCTTGCCTGCCTGCACTCTGATTTGCTCCTATGAGTCTGCTGCCTGGAGCAGGAGGTGGCACGTCCCTTTCCTGAGCTCACTCTGTCAGGCTCCTTATTCATTTGGAGCCAGAGCTTAGCCAGTGTCACCAGCCACCAATTAGATCAATAGGTCCCTGAGCAGGAGACATGGCGTAGCCTGAAGTCCACATACACTTCCTGGTTTCTCTCCCTCTCTCTGTTGCTGTATATTACATACTTTATCTCCACTAGATCGCTGTTGATTAGGCTGCACAGGCACTACATACATATTACGTTGACAGCTAATCCATAGAGTTGGATTGTGATAAATGAATGGATCTGTAATGCTCAATATCAGCATTGTGAATTGCATCAGTTAAGTGAAGTTTCATTGATTGCATTATACAACATTTCCGACCGGTGGGCCGGTGTTGGACATGCCATTCCTCCAGGGTGCACGGTTTCATGGTCCCTGTCTGCGGACCAAAGCCATCTCTCCTAATTAGAGACTCACATGCTTACCAGTCAAACTCACTCCAGGGGCGGGATGATGTATTTTGTTTTGTGCAGTTCACTCCGCTCACGCTGCATTGGGGAAAAAAACACACACAAAAATGGCTAAAGAAAAAAGTTTCTTGTTGAACTCCTCTAACTAAAATTGGACAGACCCTCTGCTCGGTCCAAATATCAGTTTACTTTCATGATTGCATCTCTACCTCCCTCTCTTCTCCGGCCATAATCTCACATCCAGTCCTTTTACGAGATACTCTATGCACAACCTGTTATCTCATTTATTGACCCGGTGCACTTGTTCCTGCTATCAGGCCTCCACACTCGCAGAGACTTTGTTTCACCTCATTAAGCCCCTGTTATCAATGTTTCTCTCACCAGTCCTGTCTTTCCTCTTGCGGGTTGTCCAGTAGGACTCTGACAATATAGAGGAGGCAGCTCAGCACTTTCAGAGCAAAGTTAAACATTCGCACCCGCAGACCTGCAACACAAAGAAGAAGACATTCAGTCTTTAAAAATAAAAGCCAGCTGCTGAATTTATTTATTTTTTTTAAAAAAACAAACATTTTTATTAAAACCCTTAAATGCTCAAAAATGTGACACTGAATAGATCCCTGTAGGGTTCTTAGAAGTAAGTCACAAAAAAAAAAAAAAACGTATTAAAAGTCATGACACAAATGGTGAACACACAGACTAGCTCTTGGAAACGAACAGCCGCTCATAAGCCATTTATCACCACTACCAAAAAGTCAGATTGACTCATCACGTCTCTTCGATAAAGCTTTTGCACTCATGACTGACCGACAATGGTTGGCTTAACGTAGCAGAAAATGTAGTACTTCATCTTGTCTGCAGAGGCTGAGGTTATTTTTGTATCCCTCTATATCTCTAGTTATATTACTATTACAGTATGTTATTTAAGCAGTGATTACCACCTTAATAAGAAAAAAAAAGGATGAGGGCTATAATTATCTGTTAATATTAACCTAATTAAGTGCAAAATAAACCTGACATATACACCTCTTTCTACTTTGAGTTAAGGTTTTCTGGATAAATATTTTAGTGACTTTAGTTGTGCGGGAGAAATTAAAGGTGTGACATATCTATTAATGAGTCCGAAGATACTTTGAATCAGTACACAGACATATAAACCAGTCACAGAGAGGAAAAGTGGGCAAGTTGAACAACTGGTGATGAAATTCAGAGCAAGTGTGACAGCACATCACACACTAAAATGAAACACCTCTCTTCAATCAAAAAATAAGAGCCAACTCATGTGGAAGCAAAACAGACAGAAAGGTGGGGAAATCACCCAAAAATAAACACAGACAGATAAAGCGTGATTCCCAAACACAGGCAACTCACTGGATCTTTGGTTTTTGATGAAGAACAGCTTTAGGCGCTCCTTGAAAGTGTTCTCATTCACATAGAACTCTACCTGCACCCTGAGAGAGAGACATGGAGAGAGAGAGAGACATGGAGAGATGGGCAGTAAAACAGTGAGGGAGAGCTGGAGATAAGAGGGAGAAGTCTGCAGGAGGCGGTGCAGGTGATTGAGGAGATAAAATACTTCTTTCATGGAGTCAAGTCAAGGGACAGAAGAGAACGACAAAACAAGTGAAGGGCTGGGCGATAAGAGAGAATTGAATAAAGGTGATGAAGAAAAAGTGTACAATTGAGCAAATTGGAGATAGAAAGGGCAATAATGATTATTTGAACAATGAAAAGTATGGGAATAAGACATTGTGGCTGGCTGCATTAAAGACTAATGGGTTTTGGAGGAAATGGTGTTCCTGCTTGTCCGCCTGCCCATAGGCCCAGACAGCTGCAGTCAGTCTCGTTATCTCCACTGATTAAATATAGAGCAACAAATTACTTCCCTCTGATGTTTCTGCTGAACATGGGAGGCCATAATTACTGCTCTTTCTCCCTTTTCATTCTGGCACCATCCTGTTAGAGGGACACACACTCACGCACACACACGTTTACTGTACACACACACACACACAGGCCTAAAATACACACCTGGCTGCAACCAAGTCATTAGGGTTATTAGACCATTCACAGGCCTATCTGACATGGACGATATGATGAAAATGACAAAGACACACTCTTGAGACCGCCCTTAGATGTGTAGAGTCACATAACAGGACACACAGAGGGATGACTGTATTTCCTGTCTGACCACCTCGGGGGAGAGTTCTCAGCTGCTCTTCTTTCATGCTATGGAGGGAAGAGTGGATGACTCAGGTTGAGGATGAAAAACCACAGGCCTGACTCGCTGGTGGTCTCCTCACAGCACACAGACACATGGACAGATGAAAGAGAGGCAGAACAACTGCAATCTATTCTCCTGTCTGCAGGAAGAGGAAGAGGTGGCGGTGAGGGGGCGGGAGGGTGGTGGTCTTCCCAGGGTTCCAGAGTGACTCTATATGCTCACACAGACCAAAACCAAAAACACACCACATTCCCAGCAACATATGGGGCTGGGGGTTGTATGTGTGTGTGTGGGGGGTGGGGTGGGGTGGGGGTGTGGGGGTGACTTTCCTCAGTGTTGCTATGGCAACACAGGATTCGTTGTCTTTTCCCTCCCTCTCACACGAGCAGATGTGAGCAAACACGAGTACAGCAAGTGTGTTGAGCCATCGGAGCCGATAGCCCCCCGCTCCAACTTGTTGACGGCTCCCCTCTCTCTCTGAGCCGCCTGCTGACGATAATGCTTTTGCACACATGATGGAAAACAGGGGAACATGTAGATACACAGACCTCCTCAGGCTCAAGAAAAAAGCCCAAGGTTGTGTAATTGCACCTTTTGATTAGAAAATGACTTTGTATGAATTGCTGGCGACGATGTGATGTCCTGCTGTATTTGCTGTCATAGACAATGGGGAAAGTAAGTAAGGATTACGTGTGTATATATCGGCGTGTGCGAGTCTGTACGTGTTTAGTCGTACTGAGCTAATCGACCATATGACTGCATGAGTTCTTTTATACACACAGCAATCAAACAGTCAATACCACAGCGGCAATAAGCACGGTGTGCCATTTTCATCAGTTCCTGTAGGAAATATTATTACATATAAAAAAGCAGGGTTGGGGGTAACAGAAGACCTGCAATGTCATTATATCATTCATTAACAAGATTGAAGCAACTGTGCCAATCAGAGAGAAAATAGTGTGAGTGCTATATAAAAAGTTTGCATCCTGTGAGAAAGGGTCTGAAAAGGTTCAGGCAGTTAAGACTTCATGGAAGGCAGATGTGATGTTTTCTCCTTAAACACTCAACAAGAGCTTATAGCTTAGTGGTGGAAAAATCTTTACATCCAATGCAAGGCCAGACTACTGCCAGTGAAAATGGCAGCACTAAAGGACACCTCCTTTCCTCTAAAGATCACTCTCAGCAACCTTGTTTTGACACATACAGTATACACTTATGCACATTAAATTAGCGAATCATCATCATAATTATAATCAAATATTACTTGGTTGATTACAATGATGATATAATCAACCATCGCTGCAACCATCTATAAAGAACTAAAGCCATCCTCTATTCCAGTACAAATCCAAAATGATGAAAATATAACTAGATCTATGCATTTCGTTGGATCTCCCACAGCTGCACTGGCTCCAACAAGCTCGTTGCTCATGTGTTGACTCTCCTGAAAAGCTCCACTGTGGCAAGTTTTGGGTTATTATCCTCATAAAAAAACAAAAAATGGTAAGTGCTTAAATGTTCACTTTCCATCAAGCTAATGTCCTTTTTTACAACCAAATCCATCAGGCGCTGCACCTCCATGTCTGACCATGACAGTGTTTTCAGTCCAATACCTTAGGACACTTAAAGTGACATACGTTCCTAAATCTAGCCATCCCTACATTCCTTCTCTTCATCAAAGTCCTTGAAGCCTCCCTGAGCTCTGCGAGCTTCCTGGGGGAAGAGGTTAATTTCAGAGGTCATTTTGTCCTTGATGTGTTTCTCTAAGTGAGAGCTTTTCCACTTGAGTGTACAACAGAGGACGAAAAGCAAAGTGGAAATATAGCCCAATAAAGAGTTGAGCTGTAGGATAGATTGAGAGTTTGGATCTTTAATCTAAGGGGAGGATGGGGGAGAAAAACACATTAAAAACTCATAAAGAGCATTATTTCAAAACAAAAGACACACACAAGCACATCACGATGGCACCTCTGGGCTATAGCCACATACCCGCCCCCCTGCAGGCCCTCCAAAACGCACAAAGAAAATAAATTATTAAATCAATGTTGAGAAAAAACTGCTTGGGAACACTGAAAAAAAACATGTCGCTTGATTAAGGAACAACCATTTCAGTGTAACGTTGAAGAGTTACCATGAGAGAATAACCCCCACAGAGGACTGTCTCACTCTCTTCTCTGCTCCTCATTCAAAATACATATTTTTCAAACTAATTATTTCGAGCCAGGCAACTAAGATCATCTCATGGGCTTTAATAAAGCAAAGCCAGCACGTTTAACAGCTGGAAACGAGAGTACATGAAGAAAGGGGGCATGGCATAACATTTCAAACCCGAGCGTGGGGAGAGAATCTTCATTTGCATATTTGCATGTTACACTCTGAGGGTTGAAAAGGCTGAAAGAAAGAGACAGAGAGACAGAGAGAGACAGAGAGAGAGAGAGAGCGGACAAAAATACAGACAAATTAACAGACACAGACGGATGGACAGACAGACAGACGGGGACATGCGACAGAGGATCTTTGAGAGAGAGAGAGAGAGAGAGAGAGATGAACCTTGTTCTCCTGCTGCTTCCACCCATGCCTGTACTCCATAATGACACAGCACTGGCCATCTAATGACACAGTGGAGGAGACTACAGAAACCCAAATCTATGTGTGCACAGCAGCACAGCACTTACTCATCACAACCTCTAAACACAACTCAGACATAGTATTCATACCAGTGAAGTAGCCAAAAAACTAAACAAAAAAAAACAAAACAAGAAATATGGTTACCATGAGAAAAATTCTACCGTGTAGACTTTTGTAAAATCGATGACATCAAGGTTGGTCAGTTTAATTAATTGCATGCCTTTGTTAAAAAAAAAAAAAAAATCCATTAAAACACAGTGTAATAAATCTAGAAAAAAAAAATCATAAATATGGACATAAGTTCAGCTGGAGGCCACAGCCTGGTCTATACTGAGAAATGTAGACTGCTGTGATATGGAAATGAAGACAAACGACTGTCCTGGCATATTTCACAAACCTTTTAAAATGCAGGTTAGAAAAGTCAAGGGACAAGATGAATGGAAATATGTTTAACCTATAAAAGGAGACTGACATAAGTGCACCAGTAGAAATTATTATAGTTATTTTTAGAGAAGCTGTTCCCATCAAATGAAAGAAATGTGTGGCTTCTGAAGAACCATTTTATGGAAAAATCCCATGGCCCATAAACCAGTTTGAAGTTTATTACTCAGCATAGTGTACTGCTCAAGACGAATGGGTAAATAGGGGATCCTCTGTGAAAAAGAGGCCACAGATAAAAGAGCAAAGTCTGGAAAAAGCAGACAAAGACATACAATAATAATATACACGGGCTACAAATGAGGGCCGGGGGAATTCAATGGGACGACAAGAGGCAAATAAATTGAACATCACCATGAGGCCCCTGTAGCAGCTTAGGCGAGGCAAGGTGTACTCTGCCTCATTCAACCAATAGTTGACAGGACAACTTGTCCCTGACCCAGATACACAACCATCTCACAAATTAGAGTGTGTTGATGGAAGGTGGAGAAGAAAAAAGGAAGAAAAAGAAAGGAAAAATGAGAATGTGTAGCTACATATTCCCCGCTACAGAAAGATCCTTTTCTTTTGGTGAAAGGTATATCTCTCTTTTAAGGCTGACAGTGCACAAGTTCAAACTGACTGAAGGGTCAAACAGCAAATGTTTTTAATAGCACTCATCACTGCCACATAAATTGATTTTAACGCTCAAATGAAACAAGCAAGTGCTTTCATAGTAACTCAATAATTACAGAGGCATTTAAAGAGTCTCTTTCTCTGCCCGTCTCTTTATCTGTGTAGCCAAAGGAGAAACCTAACCGATCTATGTCGTGACTGATTTCTCCACTATTTCTTCTCCCATTGTCCATCGCCTCCAACAATCACTCCATCTCTAACCTCAGCTGCCTGGGCAAAAGCACAGCAGCAACATGATCATCACTTACAAGAAATATGTAATGCATTCCACAGTATAATGACAGTAAGTAAATGTGTGCTGTAGCTTTTATTCAGAGCCATTTCCTGAACAACCTCTGGGTTTCCATGGATTAAAACTTTCCATACATCATCAGTGGAAGTGCTCCAGCCATTCCCCAGCCCCCACCACCCCCCCTGCTCCCTGACGTAACCAGCCTTGCCTCATCCTTTCCTGAAATTATCATTCACTACTTATTGCTTATGGGA